ATGTCTCTCTCCTCTAAGGCAGAATAACCAGGGAGTCCCAGGTTTCTGAATTCCACGTGGAGGGGGAAAGCAAAATACAGAACACCAAACCACAAACCTTTAAGAGGGTTGGTGCATTTTTTTTTGTCTCCCACTGTCACTCTCTCGGCCAATTATTTAGCACATAAATATGTGTTTTTCCCTAATTTGTTTCTTCTAGATCCCCCCAAGTTCCCCTTGACAAGCCGCTAAAAGCCTTAGTTCAGTGCTCCCACGTGTGGTGGCAGAGCAGGGAGTCATATACTTGGAAAGTGCCCAAAATACTCCCAAGTTTCAAAGAATTAGTGGGAAATATCTCAGGAAATTTGTCTTTACCATGGATTATCAGTTTACCCTGTGAGAATTTGTAAGTGGCAAGATCAAAGCTTCTTCAAGGGTCTGCAGATATTCTAAGGCATGTGCACCAAGAAATCATCTGACCTGCCCTGAGTTATTTCCTCTTTCTCAGTGGTGTGTGACTTTTTTCAGGATGCAGGGTGCCTTTGGTTATGAGTGTTTTGGATCTCCTGTTGTTTGCAAAAACATCACCCCTTCAGAAAGCATTGACTGATTAAGCACTTGCTGTCTTCCAATGTCTATGTTCAGTGCTGAAAGAACAAATGTAAAAGTAAGATAGTCCTCACCTCCAGGGAGGACACATTCTCCTGGGGGGTTAGAAGATGTTCGTAGATAAGTAAATATTTGATCTATACGAAATAAATACACATTTATGTGGGGAGTGGCAGGAAAGGGGCACTAGCAACTGGCTGAATCAGGAAAAGCCTCTTGAAAGAGGTTGCTTGAGCAGAGCCTTGAAGGGGTTTAAGGGCTGTAAAAGTACAAGGAAGGAAGGAGACCATTGTAGGCATGGGATGATAGCTGGAGAAAAGATGTGGAGGCAGGAGATTGAATGTCCCATTCAGCAAGATGTCACATACATGCAAAATTATGTATGCACAGGAAGAGGGCTGATGTGGCCAGAGTAATATAGAAGCAGGCTGAAAATATAGGCTGCAGCAATATTGTGAAGGGCTCAGAGAAACCTGATACACAGACATCCTCTTGTCTCCAATTCTTTGCTACCGCTTAAAAAATATACACACATAGACACCCACTATACATTTATTATTAGTATATTGTAATAAATAGAATATTAATTGAGGATTATTTGATATATTATTTATTATATTAAATATAATAATATATGTTGAATATATTTAAGAAGTAGCCAAGAACTGGAACACTATACATACATGTACACACATATACATACACACACGCATACACACACACATATACAGACACAGAAAAAAACTGGCCTGCGTCCGTTTAGAATAATGTAAACATAAACAAGACTTGAAAATCCCATAAACTCTGATTAATTAGAATAACCAATATTGGCCCCTGAAAGCAGATGATGAAACACATTAGCCAAGGTGCTTACAGTAGAACTACCTGCCTGATAGGAGATACTGCACCCAGCACAGAGCAGGCCCATGGAGTATTAGAGGCAGTCATTGGAGACAGCTTCTAGGGGAGTATTCCCTAGCAGCAGTCAAAAGATCCAGTTATGGTTTCAAGAGGCAGCTATCCATAGTAGAGGGGTCAAACTAAAGAGAAGCAAACCCAGGGAGTCCTGCTAAGTGACCTGCCCAGCAGGGACACTGACAACTATGGAGTAGTAATAAGAATACTGAGAAAAAAGAAGGGACATTAACCCTGCAGCATCTAAAGCATGTTGCTTTGATGGAGTATTCTCAAAACCAATGTGCCCATTTACCTACTGACACTGTGGCAGAGTATGTTCCAGGTATCTGGAGGGAATGTTTTGTACCTGACTTAATAATGGAATACAATGTTGTAACTAGATTAATAAATGCCTTTGTGTTGAGCTAATTGTGTCTACTGGCTACTTGTTTCTACTGGGGATTTGTGAGCTACAGTTTTAAGAGTGCAGACCCACAGAATACACTTGACCCTAGTCCTTATCCACCCACTAGCTAGGGCAAGTGCAAGTTGAGGAGTGTGTGTGTAGGAGGGAGGGGTGTGTTGGGGACAAGTCTATTAACATAGTAACAAAAACATTATATTTGGAGTCATAATGACTCCCTGCTCTAAGCAGAGCTTACAGTCTGATTGCCTTTGGGTAAATCACTTAACATCTCAGAAAGGTAGTACCTACCTCTCCTTATAAGGATCAAATAAGATAACAAATATAAAATATAAAGATAATATATTTTAAAATAAATATAAAAATAAAGATAAAGATAAAATATAAATATAAATAAATATAATAAATATAAATATAAATATGAAAACAAAAAAGAATTGGGCTTATAGACTTTATAAATATAACTAGCATTTATATAGTTGTTATTTGTCCTTCATTCGAGAAGAGGACAAATGATATCAGGAAGGTGATGTCTTGACTTGCAAGTGAATTAGATTGGAGTGAAGGAGGGCTGTGCAGTCACCAGCCTCACACTCTCTTCTGGAGCCATCTGGATCCAGTGGCAAGATACAGATCATGACCACTGGAGATGACCTGGATGCAGTGGGAGACCTTGGCTTTTTTAAGCTAAGATCTTTGACAGCTCTCTGGTTGTCTGAGGCAATGGTCGTTCAGTAATTAAGGCTAGGTAAAAAATGAGGTCAAAAATGGCTTCTTTCACTTAGTTACAAAAAAAAAAAAATCAGTCTGGGAGGGGAAAACCCTCACGGTTTCTGGCCAAAACAGAAACAATTGCTATTTACACTCACTCTGAGCCACGATTGGCTAGGACCTATTGTTGGCCAGTCAGTGAGAACCAAAGTAATTTGGGCTTAAGGCATGGTTTTAAAAAATGATAGAATAAATAAGTAAGAAAGAGAAAAAAAAGAAATTCAGTTGGTAAATCTCTAGAGCATTATATAGTACTCTTTGGCTTGTAAAGTGCTTTACAAACATTATCTCATTTAATCCTCAGAACAGTTCTATAGGTTAGGTGCTGTAATTGTCCCCATTTTATAGATGAAGACACAGTTGAAGCTAAATAGCTTGTGCAGGATCACCTATCTAGTGAGTATCTGAGGCAAGAGTTGAACTCAGGTATTCCTGACCGCAAGTCCAGCACTCTATCCATTGTGTCACCAAGTTGCCCAGGCTGTCTTTTAATTGAAGCTCCTATGGGGTAAGGTGGTTCAGATGAAGAGCAGCAGAGCCCTTCAGTGATCATCCCCCACTGCCCTGGGCTGAGTGGGCTTCTGGAGGTGGAACTGTGCATCTCTAGGCAGAAGAGGCCTGTAATCCCTTAGGGTTCAGACTTCTGTCATTTTAGACTAAGAACTGGCTGGTACCAATAGGTTACTGCCCTGTCATCCTGAGGGGAAAATAGTTGGCACTAGTGAAATGAGGACTAATAAAATAAATTCCACGTTGCCTGATAAGGAGTGAGGAAGGACAGGCATCAGGACATAGGGAATTTGAGTCTTAACTGCACCAAGAAGAGGCTGGAATGAGATTTTGGGGGAAGTAATGAACAGTGTCTTGGGGCATACATGCATCCTGGGGGCTGGGATCATTGTAGCCAAGCATGTTTTCACTGGCTTATAGCACCGATCTCTCTATCTTGTTCCATTCACATATAGGAATCTCCCTTTTCTCTCACCCCCACCAAACTAAAACCCTTCTTTCTGCTAACCCTAGATGGATATTTTAGCTGTTCCAGGGTATTCCTGATCCTCACCAAATATTTCTTGCTGCTTCAGATGACAAACTCAAGAAATCATTACCTGTGTGTTTTGACTTCAGGGCAGCTATAGTTGTTAATCTCAAAACACCAATTTGTGATATGTACCCTTAAGCAAAACCCCAAAGGACCCATTCCCCATACAAGATCAGAGGAAGGTCTCCTGAAAAAAAAAAACAAAAAAAAAAAAAAAAAAAAAAACAATTCCACTGAAATTATTCAGGAGTCAATCATGGGCTGCAGTGTCAGTCCTGGGATTTAATGAACATATCAGGGTTGGGTGGGTGATACCAAAAGGTCCCAGAAGACAACAGGAAGATTCAGTGAGTCAAGGAAGGACAGTGGCTGGAATAGGTTAGGTGGACTCACTTCTGTCTCTGCTGAATCCAGCTCCTGCTTCTTGACTCTCCCTGAGTGGGGACATTCTTCACAGGAGACTTTCCCTGCTCTTTGGCAGTCTCAGGCTGTGCCATGGAGGGCCTGCAATTTCACCTGCTTGACAGGTTCTGGCCTTCAACATTCAATGAATGGTCAACTGCTCTTCCCCATACTGAATGAAGTTCATGGGGGCAGGAACAGAACTGCAAAGTATTGAGGAGCTACTTTATGGGAGGACAAATTGAAGCAACAATCATTACCTTGATTGGCTCTGTTGACTACTGAATTGGATTTAGGTCACTTATCTAGGACCTGTGGGAAGGCCTGGAGAAGCAGCTTCACGAAGAGGCCAAGCTCAAGAATTCACTACCTGTGTCCTCTGACTTTAGGGTAAAAATACTTGTTTATCCCAAAATATTAACCTGTGATGTGTATCTCCTCTCTCCCCTTGCACCCTCCAAGAAACCAAAAGACCCATTCTCTATACAAAGTCACAGGAAGGCCCCCTGTAAAAAACAAACTACTAGAAGGAAGCTCTGTAACAGAGGTAGCTTGCAATATGGCATCAGAAAAATATTTTACCTGAAGGTCACCCTGACAGCCTATAAAGAATGACCCAATAAATGCCCCAAAGCACAAATGTCCCCCCGAACCCTGTGGTGATTTGTTATACTGGCATTTCCCCTGCATAAGAAACCTGCTTGCATTACCTATTTCTGTGATGAAGCAGATTCTGCATGTGAAACTTGGCTATGAATGACTAAAAATTAAGATTAATTAATTAATAATTTATTGGTAGTTTTTTTTTAAACTTTTATTCCATTTAGACAATCTAAATTTTCCTTATTTTTTTTTTACATTGCAAATATGTAGTCATTATAAATCTCAGTCATTACAAAATCTCTCACTTATGGGATATGACTAGTAAGCAACTCAAAGAGAACAACTTATAGGTATTAGCTGTAACAATTAGTAAAGGGACAAAATGTGCTTTTTTATTTCTTTCTAAATGCACTGTTAAACCAAATCCAAGATGTGTAACACTCAACTCTTACTAGGATAGATTCAAATTTGAGTTTACCATTTTTGAACCTTTTTCTCTGACACAAACTGGCCATGAGGTTCTGTGACACCTGGAGGCAAAAGAGCCAAATAAACTGGGGTTTCAGCCCCTTCCTCTACACTTTTGGGAGCCCTGGGTCCCGCCATGTCGGTTCTCACCCATCCTGGGCAGCAGGCATTCAGAAGAATATTATCACCTTTCCTCTGCTCATTCAGTTGCCTGGCATGGATTCTTGACAAGACAGTGACTCCAATCTTGGACACTCCATAAGCAGTGTTAGGCCACTCCTTCTCATGCACTCCCTTCTTTGTATCTTCTACAAACTTGTTCATGAGCCCCACCAACTCTTCCTCTGTGATTGTGTCACTCCTAAATTTCTTCTGTAGTTCTGGGCTGCATTTTTTAAGAGAACTTACACTCACGAAGCTAGAGACATTCACCACTCTACCTGCAATAAAACATGTGGAGACATCGTTTGTCATATTGTTTTTACAAACCATTCTTTGAAAGAATTAAAAATTCATAGTTATTTCTTCATTAATTTTCATGATATTGTGAGATGCGTGTATATTCCTAATAGTTTAGAATGCAACTCTTTATTTTGTTAGGATGGGGAACTATTGTTTGTTTGTCCACACATCTAAAAATCATTTTGCAAAGGAATAATAAATGAAATGAATGATAAAAATACATAAAGTGCTTTCTATGAGCCAGGTATAGTGCTAAATTTGTGTATATGAACATAGATGGAAATGTTGCATAGAAGACTTGAACCTGCCTATCAATATTTGATCAATGTTTAATTAAACACTCTTCTGATACAGTGACAGGAAATTTCTGAGTCAAAGTGATTATAAAATCATGAAATCAATGCAAATACCTCATAGGCCCTAGCCGTATTGAGATATCTTTGCATATGCAAAAATGGCAATAAGCAAAAATGATCCTCTTGACTGACATCTGTCTTATGTCTAAAAATAAATAGGTGATACTGTGTAGAAATGTGAGAAGGTACCCCCCCCAGAAAGTCCTTATGATGGCCTGTAAAAACATTTACTGATACCTGGGTTCTTCTCACTAGAGTACATTGAAGCTCTACCTGGTAGAGGTTAGATTCAGAGGTTAGATTATTCTCCCTGTGGAGAATTCCAGCCAAATCATGCAGCTTTCATAATTGCCTTTCCGTGGTTTGGCTGTGATTCTCTACAGGGAGAATCACCTAGCCTCTGAACCAGTCTGTGAAGGTTATCACAATGCCAAAGCTGTCCCATGGAATTTGAATTAGAAGCCACTAGGTAAATGGTGGTACCTTGGTAGTAGACAAAAAGTCTTTGGTTCTTTCTTTTTTTTTATATTATTCTTTCTATTCCAAGAAGAAAATAAAGACATTTAATTTTTTAAAATGCTGTAACCAACAAGAAGCACACAAAATGAGAAAGCATAAATGGATCACAATCTATAATGCTGGAAGTCATATCCAAATGGATGAGATCACAGGTCCACTAACAATTTGTGTCAAATGGATCTGTGATCTAACTGTTTCAGCAGTTAGATGAGGCATAAAAAGGGATAGGTATCCTATGACAATGGTGATCAGCACAGAGTCCAAGTTGTTGAGAGATTCTCTAGATGTTTCTGTGGATTACATTGTGCTGATTGCCTTAAAACATTTCCAAATGTCCTGAAACAGATCTATGACCACTCAAAAGAGTTTAGTCTGACCAACCATACCAGAAAGACAAAGTTTGTTAAATAATAATTTTTGCATGTTTGTTGTACTCTTTTTATCCTTAAATGTCCTTGGGATGACTTTTCTTAGTTGGATCTTTTTTTAAAAAAATTTATTTATTTTTAGTTTTCAACAATCACTTCCATACACTTTTGAGTTTCAAATTTTTCTCCCCCTCCCTCCCCAAGACAGGGTGCAATCTGATATAGGCTCTACATGTACATTCCTATTATACATATTTTCACATTAGTCATGTTGTAAGGAAGAATTAGAACCAATAGGAGGAACCACAAGAAAGAAGAAACAAAACAAAACAGAAGGAAAAAAAAGAGCAAATAGCATGCTTCGATCTTCATTCAAACTCCATAGTACTTTCTTTGGATGTGGATAGCATTTTCTATCATGAAACCTTTGAAGGTGAATATGGTATGACCAACAGTACCTTTCTTTCCTTTAGCCACTTCTGAAGTTTCTTCTGCTTGCTTCTGTTTTTTTTTTAAATTTTTTTCCCACTAACTTTTTTTTTTGCTTTCTTCTTTTCTTTCTTTTTTTTTTTCATCACTGTCCCTGTATCTCTACAGTACTCCCTTCCCCAAATAAAAGTCTTCCCTTTAAAAAAATAAATATAGTCAAGGAAAAACAATTAATGTTGTAGTGGGATGTATCTGAAATAAATGTCTCATTCTGTGCCCATAGTTCATGGCCTCTCTGCCAAAGAGGTGGGAAGTATGTCTTACCAGTCTTCTTGGAGCCATGGTTAGTTGTTTACCTGATCACAATAATTTTCATCTTTTTCACTCAAGGTTTTTAAGAAAGAGTTAGTTTTCTTCATCTAGTTTTTTTGATATAAAAAATGAATTCATTTTAAACAATTATTTCAAAACTCAGTAAGCTGTTACTAGGAAAGTCTTACTGAGTGTTTAACAAAAAGGCACAGATAATATAAATCATGCAAATACTTATTTCAAGCACTTGGAAAAAAACTCCAGAGTGTAATAATTTATATGAAAGATGGTAAGAATCAATGTGACATTTTTGTGGGACTTTTAAAATAGATAAGGAAATAGGGGGCTGAAAGGTAAGGTAAACTGAATGAAATCCTGAAGACACAATTATAATGAGTGGGAAAAAATGGGATTTGTCTTAAAAGACCAATGTGGATGCACAGGGAACTCTCTAATCAAACAAGGTTTTGAAAAGAAATGTATAGAAGATGTCTGTTAGTGTAGCACAGTGCTATAAAAATATTGTCATCAATGCTTAAAGTTCAGAATGAACTGGAACTGGGTGAGGGAAGCTAAGAATGAAAAGTGGTTTTTTTCTAGCTCAACTATAAGAAAAAGGAGGATGAAAGAAGGGATGAGACCTTTGCTTAAAAGCATAAATGACAAAAGAGAACTTTTATTTGGTTTCTGTCTATATTACATAGAGGAATGACTTTTTAAATTGGAAATGACAGAACAGAGATAACTAACAGGCAGTCAATACCCAAGAGAAGGATGATGGCAGGCTGGGTGCTGGGCTGAATCTAAGAAGATGAAATTCATGATTTGGGGGGGGGAGTATTTTTATAAAAGAGATGTTCTGAAAAAAATCTGGAATTTTAATGGAGAAGTTTACTAAGTGAATTTGCAGTGTGATATAGCAGCAATAAAAAGGTCTAGGAATAGAGAAGGGATCAGTTCAACATTATGTTATGGGGGGCGGGGGCAGTGTGTGTGTAGGATATACACAGGACACACTTTGAAGTGTATCTACACTTTTTTTTTTTTGGCCAGGCAGTTGGGGTTAAATGACTTGCCCAACGTCACACAGCTAGTTAGTATCAAGTGATCAAGTGTCTGAGGCTCAATTTGAACTCAGGTCCTCCTGACTCCAGAGCCGGTGCTCTATCCACTGTGCCACCTAGCTGCCCCAGTGTATCTACATTATTAACATTTTCTCCATTACCTTCTTAAGTCTAGAAGATTCACAATAAATCAAGCTCTGATTTGTAACATTTGCTAATTTCCAAGGTGTAAATGTTTATGATGAAAATTTACCAATCATCTTGGGTTCAAACTGACTCAAGCACACCCCTAGACACTCCTGGTAACCTGTATAGTCTGCTACTATATCTTCTGGCCTACTGCCATTCTGACTATTCAGCTGTCTCTCTCTCTCTCTCTGGAGAATTAGAAAATTAAAACCCCTGATTATCTCAAATATCACTGGCCTCCAAGAAGAAGATAATCTGTACAATAATGTTCAATCATTCAGGTAAAGATAAATAAAGATGTTAAAGCACTTCTTACTACAAAGACTGCCTTAACTCATCTGAATGGAGGCCAGCTACCTTAAACATTTACAATATACTTCAGTAGTTGCCTTACTTAACGACCAGTATTTTTTTCTGTTACATACTTTAAAAAAAATTGCTCTTTGCCTAACTATATGCTTACTTTACCTAAAGTATATGCCAAATACATGAAAGGTTGAGTGGGCTCTTCTGATGAGGAATGCAACTTTAATGACAAATATTATTCTCCTTCTTCCTGGGAATCTAGGGACTTGAAGATGGCTTCTCCCAATTCACTATATAAAAAACAAGTGATGTATTTATTTGAGGCTCTGTTGGTAGGATGGATGATTATAGTTTCATTAACTAATCAGGAGATCTCATTCAGAAAAAAGCTTCCTCTGAAGGTGTTGGAGATGTCCCAAACTGTATTTGCCAAAGAATTTAAAATTACATTCATCTCCTTTTGGAATAAATTGCTTTTCAGATCTCTATGTGGGGAAAAAAGTATTCCCAAATTCTCTATGTTCTGTTGAAGGAGGAGTCTTGACACAGAGCTACTTTTATTCTCCTTCTGCCTTTTATTTTTGCTAAGTCATGCTTGGTATGACTCTTATAATGTAGCCAAACAATTCCCAATGTCCCTGAATTAAAGGGAAGGAAGGGATGTATCCTAGAAATAGGGATAGGAACAGAGTTAGCGATTATAAAGTCTAATTTCTTCTTCTTTACAACTATCAGAATAACGGCCCAGAAAAATAGGGATATTCAGACAAGGCAACATTGTTAGAATTTGAGCAGGAACTCAGATCTTTTGTTTAGTACTAAATGTCTGATAATTCTATTCTCCTGGAGGTTAGTGGTTTTTATTACAAATACTGAATTTACCTTGGGGTTTTATCAGAGGCAGTAACTCTGCAGATACAGCTCTGGTGCCAAAGAAGTTGGTTTTTAGTGTCACTTCAGCCTGAATAGGAAAGGGTGTGGTATCAGCAACTAAAAAAAAGGAGGAGGAGGGGAAGAAAGGGAAGAAAATGAAGAGTAAGTTAAAGAGTAATCAAACTGACCATTTCTATTTCTAAAGCAAAGAAATTCACATAAATTTAATAGGGGGAGGGGAGATAAGTATTTATATAGCTCCTACCATGTGACAGACACTTTACAAATATTATCTCATTTGATTCTCACAATAACTCTTTGAGGTAGGTGTTTTTATTATACCCATATTACAGTTAAGCAGCCTGAGGCAACTAGAGGTTAAGTGATTTACCCAAGGTCACACTGACAGCAAGTGTCTGAGGCTATAGCTGAACCCTTATCTTCCTGACTCCAGACCCTGTGCTCTATTCACTGGTACATTTAGAGTTGAAAAAAAAGAAAAAAGAAAAATTCACCAAAATGCCCAGAGTAGTTGGTGCATTACATAATCAAGTTTGAAAGTCTTAGGAAAGGCTTAAATTTCTCAGCGAAAGCATATATAGAAATGCAATTTTTTATTAGAATTACAGAAGTACCTGGAGGTATAAAGTATCAATACCTAACCAAACACCTCGAGGAATTTGACACCTTGTGAAATTCAGACACCAGAGGGTGACAATCTAGGCCCTTTGTCAAGTACAAATATTCAACAACTTCAATTCAAGCAGTATTTACTGAAGAAACTATGTGCAAACAAAAACACCACCTGGGATGTGACACATACAAAAGAAACTGCCCCAGCTCAGGTGCCAACACTCTACTAAAGGCTACAACACCTACACCAGGAACTCAATAGGAGACAAACAAAATTATAGGAAGAAGTTTTGTGAGGTAGGGTCAAATAGATGGCTCAGTGCGGGCCCTGGAATCAGGAAGACTCAAATTCAAATTCGGTCCCAGACACTTACTAGTTGTGTGACTTTGGGCAAGTCACTTAACCTGTTTGTCTTAATCCATTGGTTCTCCCAGAAAAGGCAAACCACTCCAGGATCTTTGCTGACAAAACCCCAGAGGCAACAAGGTGCAGGTGGTCAGGAAGGGTCGGATATGATTGAACAACAACAACAGAATGCATTAACAACCTGTAGCTATCACAAGCTCTAAATTCTAAGGTCACTCACCCCAAAGGCCTTTTTTCCTGGAGTGAACAGTTCTGCATTTTACAACAAACACAGCCAATTTTAGTGACTTTCATTTACACACAGGGTCATTCCCACGTTCGTACCTTTGAAGGCTATTCCAGCATTGTTGACCAGCACATCCAAGCCCCCGTACCTCTCCTTGAGAAATTCCCGCAGGGTCTGAATGCTCTGCAGGTCATTGATGTCCAGCTGGTGGAAAACAGGGTTCAGTCCCTCCTCTTTCAGCTTTTTCACCGCCTCCTGGCCCAGGGTCGGATTCCTGGCGGTGAGAATCACGTCCCCGGGGAATTTCTTGCACAGATCGCGCACGACTGCCAAGCCAATCCCCTTGTTACTGCCGGTCACCACGGCCACTCTGCTGCTGGAAGACATGACTCGGCAGCTGTAGAGGGCACAAAGTCCAATACACTGACCTGGGGCTGGCTGGGGATGCAAGCCAGAAAAGGTGGCTGGGTGGAGCCAGAGAGCGTGCGGAGACCCTAGAGCAGCAAGTCGCGGCAGGCTCTGGCCATAAAGCCCGTACGCAGGCGCAGCTCCTCCCTCCCGCCTGGGACTGCTGGTTGAGGGTGAATACGTAACTTCCCAAGTTCTTTCTCTCCCAGTCCCACACGTGTCTGTCTCCTCTGAGGGGAGCAGCCAGGGAGTACCACGTTTCCTAAACTCCAGGTGGAGGGATAAAACAAAACACAGAAACCAAACCACCAACCTTTAAGAGGGTTGATGCATTTTTTTTTGTCTCCCTCTGTCATTCTCTTGGATAATTATTTAGCTCATAAATATTTGTTTTTCCCCTAATTTGTTTCTCCTAAGTCCCCCTAAGTTACCCGCAATGAACCGCTAAAAGCCTTGGTTCAATGCACACCCAGGTGTGGTGGCAGAGCAGGGAGCCGTAAACTTGGAAACTGTCCAAGATACTCTCAAGTTCTAAAGAATTAGAGGAAATACGTATGAAAATGTGACTCTACAATTCGTCAGGAAGCATTTCTGAAGTGCCTACTATGTGGCATTAAAGGGGGACCAGGAAAGGATTTTTGCATGAGATGGGATTTGTGCTGAGGTTTGAAGAAAGTCAGGGAAATAGGAGGTGAGGTGAGAAGGGAGGAAATTCTGGGCTTGAGGGACCGGGAGTGCTGAGGCAGGGGAGACTGGAGATGGATGGAAAAATAGGAACAACAAGAAGGCCAGTGTATTAGGAGAAGACCGAAGTGTAAAAAAAAAACAAAACTGGAAAAGCCAGCTTGTGAAAGGTTTTTTAATACTAAATAGAGGAGTTTATGTTTGATCCTGAAAATAATAGTGCAATTGACATCACATGTATAATCGATATCTTATTGCTTGTTTTCTCAAGGCGTGGGGGAGGGGCAGAAGGGAAGGAGAGAATTTGGAACTCAAAATTTTTAGAAATGTATGTTAAAAAATTGTACATGTAATTGGGAAATATTTAACAAAATGAAGTATATTTTTATTTGTGTATTTTTTTAGGCAATTGGGGTTAAGTGACTTGCCCAGGGTCACACAGCTAGTAAGTCACCTCCCTGCCCCTTTTTATTTGTGTATTTTTTAAAAGAAAGTTTATTTTTAGAAGAAAAAACGAAATAATAGTGCAATCTACTGAGAAGAGGGGAGTGATAGTCTCACTTCCTCTTTAGGAAGATCACTGGCCACTAAGTGAAGGCTAGATTGGAGTAGGGAGATACTTGAGGCAGGGAGATCAATTAGGAGGTTACTGCCAATAAGTCCAAGTAAGAAGTGATGGTCTGAACTAGGGTGATGGTTATGTGATTGGAGTGAAGGGGACATAGAGAATTGGTGGAGGAAATAATGGGATTTGGCAACAGATTGAATATGTGAAGCGAGTCACAGTGAGGAATCATCCTATATTGAGGATGCAAGCTTTGGTTGACACCAATACTCTTTGCAATTGTGCCCCTATAATTTATAGTTACCAGACAAAGTTAAAATGTAGTCAATTGTTGACTAACACTTGTGAAAGTGTGCCTGTGTATTTTTAGCACCCTTATTGATAATGCCCCTGATTTGTATATATATGATTCATAAAGTTTTTTTATAGATAGGATAGTTGACATATAGTTCAGTAGTTACTGATATTCCCTTGGTTACCTTTTCTCATATTAATAAGGTCTGAGATTTTTTTACCCACCCCTTTGATATCTTTCATCTCCTTCAGATACCTTGTAAGCTCCCACAATTATATCACCTCCCGCACAAATCTCCTCTCTATAGCTTTGGTCCAATACTGAGGCTTTTCCTGCTTTATTTTGTTTTTTCTCTTTAGTGCCATTTCATTTCCTCTAGAAGGCCCTCTGAAAGATGTAGGGAAGATAAGATCCTATTGTATTTCTTGTTTGTTGATTATTTTTAAAGAGCATTAGAAATGGGAGAACAAAATGTTGCCTTAAAGTCTCTTTTTACATCAAGCCACGGTGTCTCCAATACATATTTCAAGATCATTCAGAATTGCTCCTAAGATATTACAAGTAAAAAAACAAAAACAAAAACAAAACAAAAATAACCCTGTTCAATGATCCTCATGTGACAAACATGAAGGGACACATAAAATAGGGATATGTATGTACACCAAAAGTATTCAGTCCTATGATAAGGGGGTCTTCTCAGTGGAAAAGGAGCTCCTTCAGGTCCCTTCTGTCTGCATAACACAGCCTTCTGGAAGAGATCTGTGATCATTAAAGAGTTTGACCTCTTCATCCACCCAGGAAAGAACAAATAGTTAAAAACTGTTGCCAAGATTTCAGGATGCATTTCTTTGGATATCCTATGTTGTTTTTGTTATTTGTCCTCCATTTTGGAAGAGGACCAATGACATAAGGGAGTGAAGTTTTGACTCCTGTATGTGAATTGGATTTAAGTGAGGTCGAATTGCACCAAGTAGTCAGCCTCACTCTCTCTTCCAGAGTCATCAAATGGCAAGATAAAAGTCAGGGCTACTGATAATGGCCTGAGATGCAGTGGATGACCCGGGTCATCTTAGATGTCTGACCAAGCTCTGTGCTCCATAGCATCTGCTTCAGTTGCCTTCATTACTGTTGGAATAAATTGTTCTCAACCCCCATTAAGTCTTCACATGTTTGGGGTAGACACCTCTCCTAACACCCTAGATACCCTATAGAATTTGTCTAATGCTAGTTAGTGCAGGTGGTACAGAGGGACTGGGAACTGAATAGGAGGAGATACACAGGCAAGATTGCTTTGGGGAAATTACAAATCTCTTCGCTAACTCTTTGCCAGCTTCCCCACAATCGAAAACCTATCTTTTAAAAATAAACATTTACAGTGTTGCTATATGATCGAACACCACTGCCTTTGAAAAATTAGGATAAATATCACTTTTGTGTTTTAAGCATTTCTTTTGAAGTAGAAAAAAATAAATAGCACAGGGTGCTAAATAAAGAGGCACATGATGAGTATAAAGAGGCTACACCTTTTTTTTTTTTTTTTAAAATATAGTTCTGCCATTTAATCTCTAGAGAGTAAAGGTACATCAAGGAATTGTCATATACTAAGAGGAAATGGACTATTCCTATGGCAAGGTCAAGCAATGACTGGGTCACTAGAGTGCTTTGCTTGTACCCTTGTGATATTGAGGGGAAGTAACTTTCTTTTAATTGTCTTCTGACTGTGTGCCCTTCTGGGGGTAGGCGGTCTGGGGTGGTGGTGGTAGGGATTCCTATTCTGTACCAACGGTAAAGAGATCATGTGCTCATCTAGATGAGCCAGGCCTGGTTTCCAAAGCTGTAGCTGCCTTTTCTATTACATGTTTCTTTCCCTGAGCACAGGTGACACAGCCATGATCCCGAGATGGTCACATCCAGCCTTGGTTGGACCTTATGGACTTAAGAGGTCTGGAATCATTGACAGGTCCAAGTGGCTGGCAGCAGGAGGCTCTCCATGCAACTACCATAACGTTCTATGGAAGACAAGATAGCTCAGCAACAGGAGAGTGAGCTCATTCACACTTTGGCTTACCAAAAGACATGCAACGAGAGTGAATTCTTTGGACAACTTGGAGACTAGAGATACTCTGGGTAAGGAAGAAGGAAAACATTTACATGGTATTTACTATGTACCAGACACTGTGCTAAGCACTTGAAAAAAACATTCTCTCATTTGATCTTTATAACAATACCGTGAACTGCTATTATTACGGTCCCCAATTAAGGGTAGAGGAAATTGAAGACAAGCTCTCCCCGAGATGGATGCAGTCCTGATTTACTGAGCATCGACCACGCCCATCTCCAAAAAAGAACCTCTGCTTTGGGAGTAGGTGGGCTGGTCGTGCACAGAGCCTGGAGTTCTTCGCTTGGAAAGAAAGGGAGAAGAGATTCCTATTGTAGAAATGAGAAAACCCGGAATTCCGAGGGGATCCAGCGGCAGCGCCTCCAGGTGGTCTACGGCGAGCTTTCCCGTTTACTTTATGCAGCCTGGAGGCCGGGCGAATCCCAGAGCGGCCGGGCCAGGTTTTCTAGTTCGCGGAGCCCAGAGGGGCTGGGCTTGCTGGCTCTCCACCCACTCCTCCTCCTTCCTCCTCTCCATTGCCTGCTAGCCCGTCTTCCTCTTGCAGCGTCCTCCTCTTTCTTCATTCTCCCTCCTCTTCCTCTCCATTGGCTGCTAGCAGCCCCCTCTTCCCCTTCTTCCCCACTCCTCTTCCTTCTCCCTCCCCTCCCCTGGCGCCCTTCCTGGTTCGCGCACCAGAGCCGTGGGGTGGGAGAGCCCTAGGGAGGAGCCCGGGGAGAGGGACCACGTGCATCTCTGGTGCAGCTCTTGGAGGAGACAGCTGGGATGTTTCTGCTACTGAGGGACAGAGAGTAGGATTCTTAAGGATTGGGCTTCAGCCCCAGGGTTGGGAGAGATAAAATGGGATCTTTAGACTCGGGGTTACCTAGCCTACTGCCCCTGGACGCTCTTCTTTTTTTGACAGCTGTCATTTAGTTTGGGGACCGTTTGCAGTGAGTGTTGAAAGTTTCACGTGTTTGCAATGCTTTGGTAAGTACATGGCCGGGAGCATCCCTGAACTTTAAGTTAAAGCAATCTGTGCAAAGATTTTAGCAGACATTTCACTTAAAATATCTGTTAGTGCTCAATAGAAATTTCTTTTCACTGAGCAGCGTTTCTGGTTGGATTTTTACAAAATTAGCCTATGTAAAAGCAATTTAACATAAATGCCTGACGTTGTTGTTCAGTTGTTTCAAGTAGTGTCCCCATTTGGGCATTTCTTGGCAGAGATACTGGAGTGGTTTGCCGTTTCCTTCTCCAACCCATTTTACAGATAAGGAAATGGAGACAAACAGGGTTAAGTGACTTGCTCAGGATCACACAGCTAGTAAGTGTATGAGGTCAGATTTGAATTCACGAATATGGGTCTTTCAGACTCCAGAAGTGGCATGCTTTCCACTGAGCCATAATCACACCCCTGTTTATTCATTCTGCCAATTATTTATTTAGGCGATTTCATAGTAGATGGAACAGGGCTATGAGCCAGAGTTTAAATCCCATTGACAGTAACTAGTGATGAGATCTTGGGAAAGCCACTTAACCCACCTCGATGCTCAGCATCCCTCCTTATATTAGCAGTTTAGGAAGCTCTCTTCTGTTGTTTGTTTCTTCAAACTTCCAGTAACAAAGTCTATTAAAAAAAAGTCAGGGCAAAGTGCTTCAGAGACTACGTGTACATGTTTGTTTGTTTTAATCTGACATACTTCTTCTCTTTCCCACCCTCCTTGCCCTTTTGCAAAGGCTATTTTAATTCTGTGAGGTCTCAGGATCTCAGAAAACACCACCGAGGGTTCTACAGAGGCAGCTAGGCCCAGTGGAAAGAAGAGTTCAAATTCAACCTCAGACATTTACTAGCAGTGTGACCTTGTTCAAGTCACTTAACCTCAGTTTGCCTCCCTTTCTTCAACTGTAAAATGGGAATAATAACACCTACCTCCCAGAGTTAATGTGAGGATAAAAGGAGATAATACCCTGGCACATAGCAGGTGCTATATAATGCTCCTCCTTCTCCTCCTCCCACTACTACAAAGTAATATTTAAAGAAAAAAAATAATTATGAATTTAACTTTAAAAAATAGATATGCAGATAAAAAAATTCCCTGCATTCCTTTAAAAGGTACTTTCAACATGGAAAATTATAACAATTGGAAAATCATTTTCTCTTGAAAGTGGAATTCTATCTTTGATAGAATGTTTAATTTTTAATAAAGATGAAATGTCAGGCAGCCAAGTACAAGTTCAAAAAGACATAGCATTTCATATCTAAATTTAGTAAAACTTCACCTATATAATATAGTCCTTTTATTTTTAAAATTTATATGTAGTTTTAAAAAATTCAGTTTTATTTTCAGTTCTGAATTCTTTTCCTGCCTCCTCCACTGACTCACCTATTTAGAAGGCAAGAAAAATTAACCCTTGCAAACATGTATAGTCAAGCAAAACAAATTCTTGCATTAGCCATGTCCAAAAAAGAAAAAAAAATGCTTAAATCTACCTTCTGAGTATACCAGCTCTCTAACTGGAGATGGATATATTGCATGTCTCATCATGAATCCTTTGGAATTGTGATTAATTAATTAATGTGATTAATTAATGTGTGGATCAGTCTTTCAGAGTTGTTTATCTTTACAGTATTGTTACTGGGTAAATCATTCTCCTGGTTCTTTCACACTTCACTTTTCACCAGTTCATACAAAGCTTCCTAGGTTCTCATGAAATCATCCCCTTCGTCATTTCTTACAGCACAATAGCATTTCATAATATATATATTCTGTAACTTATTTAGCCATTCTCCAGACCTCCTCAGTTTCCAATTCTTTGCTGGCACCAAAAGAACTGCTATAAGTATTTTTGTATGTGTGGATCCCTTTTCTTTCTTTACTCTCTTCAGGGGTACAGATCTAGTTATGTGATATAGTTTTATATTTTATATATATATATATACATATATATGTATATATATCTTTATATATACAGATATAAAGTTATATATATATATATTCTTTATAGTTATATCATAAAATCATGTAAAACCTCTACAGGGCAAACATCATTTGGGCAGCTAGGTGGTGCAGTAGATAGTACTGGACCTTTCTTGCCAAGCCCTTTTAGGGTCTGCTTATCCAGCTTTGGTGTCTTCTTGGCACTCAGGTCTCACCTGTGGTTCAGAGAAGCTATAGCATTCACAGCAGCCACACCTCAATAAACTGTCTCAGCAGATGTGCTAAACCAGGTTGAGGGTAACCTATGGGCCTCAAACCTATAAGTGAGTTAGGGGAATGTCTACCCCAATCACGTGAAGTCTTCCCCCAGAGGAATGAGCAGATGAGGACATTTGTTCCAATGGCCCAGAAGCAGACACTTTGGAGCGCTTCAGGCTTGGTCAGCCATCTAAGATGCTAAAGTCATCCAATCCATCTTGCATCTTGACTTTTATCCTGCTACTGGACTTCAGTGACCCTGGAAGAGAGAGTGAGGCTGATGACTTTGTTCAACTCTGCCTCACTTAAATCCAGTTCAGACACAGGAATCAAGACATTATCCTGTGATGTCATTGGTCCTCTTCCAAAATGAAGGACAAACAACAACGACTGGGCCTGTAGTCAGGAAGACCTGAATTCCAATTTTGCCTCACGTACCTACTGGCTATGTGACCCTATTCAATCTCCTTATCTGTAAAATCAGAATAGCAATAGTACTTAGGTCTCAGGGTGTGAAGATCAAATGAAATAATCATTTAAAATCACTTAGCACTGTGTTTGGCGCACAGTAGGTGCTATTAAAATGTTAGCTATCATTATGATGTAACTCATAGCAAAGCCAAAACTTTTACATAGAGTCCTTTTAAAATGCCACATTATGGAGTTTGTTTTCTGTACTGGACCGGTAGGGAGCTACCATTACCATGTGGAGGATGGATTGGAGAGGGTAAGTTAGGAGGAGAGGGTCAGATTTGGGGTAGAAGATAATGATTTCTCTCTCAGACTTGGTGAATTTGAGATGATATTCTAGAGGAAGCCTCATTTAGGCGTGTTTGGTGTTTTAGTCTTGGTATTGGAAGGAAATCAGGCGCTTAAAGACCATCTAGTAGTTAACAAAAAAAGGTTCACTTGACAATAACATGGAGAGGATATTAACAAAGATGCAGCGTTGATTTAATTAGGTGCAACCTAAAAGTTTTATTGTATAGCTTTAAGTGCTGTTAACAGGATTCCCTTCTCAGTACAGAGGTGTTTTACTCCATATGATGGGAAAATAAACACTTCTTTTCCTAAATGAGGCAGCTGTATGGAAATTATATCCACACCATGAAGAAGAAAGGAAGAGGAAGAACAAGCAGACAGAGAAGAAGAAAATCATTGAGAACCTCAGAGTTGAGTAAAGGTACAACTTTTATTTTCAATGATCTAAATGAAGTGTTTGACTAATGTCTAATAAAACAGACTCTGTATGAATACAAAAGCTATTTATGGAAAATGTTTGAGCACATCTTAAAAGAATCCTTTTCTTTCCTGATAGCTTTTATATTCTTTGAAAGATTGCGGATACTGGTATGCCCTTGTCCTGAGTTCATATACACAGATAAATAAAATAAATTAATTTAGTTTGGGGAAGTGGCATCACTAACAACTGGGGATAGCAGGAAAGGTTAATGTAGAGGGGGGCACCTATGCTGAGCTTTAAAAGAAGCTAGGGATTCTAAGAGGATTCTTTGAGGAGAGAGAAAGTGCCCTGCACGGGGGAAGACCTATGCAAAGGCACACAGGTGCAAGAGAGAACGCCATGTTCTGGGGACAGCAAGAAGGGCAGTTTGGCTAGAATGTAGAGTATATGAAGGGGGGTAATGTGAAAGGTCTGGAGCAAAGGGCTTTAAATGACAAATTAAGGAGTTTTTTTTTATCTTGTAGACAGAAGGGAGCCGCCTACTGCTATGTGGAAGATAGAAGTAGAGTTTCATTCATTACCTTTTAACCTTTTTTTTACCCCAATATGTTGATGCCATTTTGGTCCTCTTTGAGAATGAAGGACAACAGTCAATCAAGCCTAGTGTTTAAGGGATAGCATTTGTTCCAACAACATCTTACCTCTTAATGTCAAGGTCTGGAGGTACATTCAGCTTTGGATTGATGTGACCCAATGGCTTTACTTGGTCATGGTGGAGTGAAGTTTTTATAGTTTTCTTTTGTTTTTTTTAATTTGTGGGTTTTTTTTTTTTTTTTGGCGAGGCAGTGGGGTGAAGTGACTTGCCCAGGGTCACACAACTAGTGAGTATCATGTGTCTGAGGCCAGATTTGAATTCAGGTCCTCCTGACTTAAGGGCCAGTGCTCTATCCACTGCGCCACCTAGCTGCCCCTTGAAGGTTGTGGCAACACTTAGTTGGTCAAGAAAACCCCAAATAGGGTCATGGAAAAAAAAATTTGAGAGACAGTTTCTGGGTAATTAATCATTTTATTACTAATGCTAGCATTTTATTAATAAAAGGGTCAGTGACACTCTTGAATGCCAAAGACCCCTCATGAAACACACTCAAAATTTTTATGCCCTTGGAAAGGTGGGTGTTTCTGAGGGTGGCAATCAACTCTAAATGGTTAACAATTAATGAGAAAAAGAAAGGAGACATTTTGGAGGAAATATGCCTCCAAATTGGACCAAGATTATACCTGGTAACCAAGAATCTATTTGAATTGAAATGGATATTGGGTAGTATAGAAATATAATTTACAGATGAAAGATCAAGCTGTTCTAACTATATAATAAGAACATTTGACTTTTCTTTCTGCAGCCTTTCTTCCAGAGAAATCCTATTTGCCTAATTCTCAAACTGTTAGGGTGGTGCATTCCTTTGGGACCAATTCAAAGATTACCTTGAAGTTAGTCATATATTTGATTAACTGGTTCAGTATTCTCTTAGGTCAGTTTTTTTCCCTTTGTGTATAGTTTTAAAAAACTGAAATATGTTCAAGTAACGTGAATGCAGACCAATAAAATCAAGAGAAATATTGAAGTTCAATTCTATTACTTCTGTAACTACTTGCAACAAAAAAAGATTGTGGAGGCCATACCTGATTTACATACACTGATTTCTTCAGACACTTTTCTTTGGTGGGAATAATGTGTAGTACACAGGCACGAAGAGTGTAAGTTGAGTTACCAATGATATTCACATGTCTGCTCTTTCTGCCTTGTTCCTCAAGTCTGGTTAAGTACCAACTCCTATACTGGTGAATGATGGTATTTAGTTGTGGGAAAGTGCCATAGCCAATTTGACAATTTATTGATCACAAAATAGCAATAAATCTCTAGCCTTCACCAAAAAAAAACCAAACCCCAAACCAATTAATGAGAAAATGAGTGTGTGTGTGTGTGTGTGTGTGTGTGAGAGACAGAGAGAGAGAGAGAGGTGGGCTCATTCTAATGACAGTCTTGAGGATAAATGTCTTGGTCTAGGTCAAAAAGACTTATTAACATACGTATCAAAGAGGGAAGCCACTTTTACCCCAGACCTGTCTGACCAAACACAGTGAACAGAAATTCACCAATTCTCTCAAGCTTGGTTGGGGATTCGGGGACAGGTAACTTATTTCCAAGATTTCCTACAGTAGTTGATTTCTAAATAAGGAAGTGGAAAACCCTTTAATCCTAATTCAGTAATTGGTTATTACTATAAGAAAGTAATGATCATTTCTCTCACAAAGAGTCAGATACAACTGAACAACAGCAACAAATGATGTTGATTTACCCAATTGGTGAAAGTTAATGTCAGGTTTGTGGAAGATAACCAGAACTAGTGAACTTCGTGAAATCTGGGTGCTAGGCCCCAGCCAGTCAAGGATAAAAATTTCTCAGTGGGATTGCCCGACTTGGTTAAATTTGAATATTTAAATGTAAGAAGCACATAAAGGACAAAAAGTTTGTGATACAGGTTATTTTGCAAACTTGGTTTTATACATCCCCACACTACTATTCTCTTTCTCCTCACTTCTCAATGTTACCCCATTGCTCCTCAATATACAAACTCAGCTCTAGTCAAGCTGCTGTATTCGTTTGTCACCTTTTGTGTTGTCTTCATTTCCACTTAGGTCTCAGTCATGCTATTTCCCACAACTTAGAATGTCTTCCCTTTTTTTCCCACTACCTATAAAAAATTTTTCATCCTTCAGAGCTGAGTTTAAGTTTTTTTGTTTGGATTTCTGAGCTCATTTATATAGAGAACTCCCACTGAGGAAGTTCCCTCTTTCAATACAGATAGACTTTATAGTATTAGAGAATTTCTTGAGGGCACTAAGAGTGACTATTTTAAGTAATTTACCCAGGATCAGGCAGCCATTTTATATCAGAAGGGAAAATTGGACACAGTCTTTTTGACTGAGAGGCTGGGCTTCCATCTACTATGTAGTGCTACCACAGTAGTGAAACTATATTTTTAATTCTTTTGATAGCCTAAATATATGGGTTTTATTTTGGGGGGGAGGTGGGGGAAGCAGATGTACTTTGATCTCTTCCTTCTCTGAATTCTTACAATTTTTATTACTTATCACAGTTTAGCACTTAACTGTTCTGTAATTGTTTTATAAATTAGCTTTATTTCCTCCATCTAAATTGTGGACTTATTGAGAGTGAGGAGTATGTTTTATATATTTTTTATATTCCTCATACCTTTCCTGGACATCACTCTAGGCTTTTTGTAAAAAATTGTATCGTTTGATTACATAGTAATTTTTGTTACTTTTCTCCTGGCTTTTTTAGTGAGTGAGAGCCACAAGTCAGAATTTATAGAACTTAGGAAGTGGCTGAAAGAAAGGAAATTCGAAGATCATAACCTAAGGCCAACAAGATTTTCAGGTAAGGGTTTGTAGTAAATCTGGAATTCTATTTCTTGTTGGGAGAGAGGCACTGACATGAGTTATCAACACCACGATGATTTATCTAACTGACTAGTCAAATCAACAAACATTTATTAAGTGCTTATTATATGCTAGACACTGTGCTAAGCATTGGGAATAGAAATACCAGCAGAAAGACAGTCTCTGTTCTCAAGAAGCTTACATTGTAATGAGGGAAGACACCACATAAAAGGCAACTGGAAAGTAGAAGAGGAGAGCAGGGATGGGTGAAGGTGCCCAGTGAAGGGCATGACAGAGTCCTTTGGAAATAGGTCAACAGTGCAGCCTGGGGAGAAATGAAGAGATGGTTGACCTGGGTTTCCTCCTTAAAATGGAGGTTCTAGGAGGAACCAGCCAACCAGAGGAAGGGACCTCAGGGGTGGGAGGGTACTTCCAATGTGAGTAGTCCAGGGGTAGAATGAGAAAAGTTGGGTGGAGATGAATTGAGATGCTGACCTTTCAGTCTATGTTATACACTATTACTATGCATTTGCTGTGTGCCAGGGATTAGGGCTATGAAGACAAAAGTGAGATTGTGCCTTCCTTCAAAGAGTTTACAATTATACTTAAAGGATACAACATACTCATAGAAAGTAGGTATGGCATGATTATAAAATAAATATGTATAATTTGGGGAAAGGAAGGCATTTAAAACTAGGGAAACTGGAAAAGGTTTTTTTTATTCTGAACTTAAGAAATAAAATAAACATTTCCACAACATAATAGAATAGGTAAGTGAACCTTAGGGTTTCAGGAAATGAGGTGAAGAGAGAGAACATTCAGGGCAGCTAGGTGGCACAGTGGATAGGATACAGCACCGGCCCTGAAGTCAGGAGGACCTGAGTTCAAATCCGGCCTCAGACCAAACACTTGACACTTATTAGCTGTGTGACCCTGGGCAAGTCACTTAACCCTAATTGCCTGTAAAAAAAAAAGAGAGAGAGAATGTTCTAGGCATGGTGGGAGCAGGACAGCCTCTGCAAAGACTTGCATCTAGTTGATAGAGTGTCATGGGACTGGGAACATCAGGGAGGTCAGTTTGGTTGGAATTCAGGAGGGAGAGTTATGTGTCATCAGCCTAGGAAGATAGGTTGGCGATAAAGTGTGAAGGGCTTTAGCTAAACAGAGGATCTATGTTTTATTCTAAATATACTGGAACTGCTTGAGACGAGGAGTGACACATTTAGGAACATTATTCTGGCAGCTGTGTGGTGACGGTTTAGAGAGGGAAGAGGGTGGAAGCAAGGAGACCAGTTAGGAGGCTATTGAAATTGTCCAGGAGAATGATGATAAGGACCTGAACTGGGGTGGTTGGTTGGTATGTGGGTGGGGATAACTGGTTGCATGTGAGAGATATAGAGGAAGTAACAGTGACAAGATTTGGCAACTGACCATAGATGGAGTTGAGAGAGAATAGTAATAGCTAATATTTATGTGGAACCTACTATGTTCCAGGTAATGTGCTAATCACTTTCCAAATAAAATTTCATTTTCTCCTTACAATACTACTAGGAAGTAGGTGCTGCTGTTATCTCCATTTTACAGTTGAGGAAACTGAAACAGAAATTAAGTGACTGAAACAGAAATTAAGTGACTTAACCAAAGTCACATAGCTAGTAAATATCTGAGACTAGATTTGAGCTCAGTTCTCCCTGACTCCAAGCCCAGTGCTTTTTCTGCTGTACTACTTAGCTGCTTGGAAAGAAGAATTAAGGATGACTTCTAGGTTGAGAACCTGGGTAACTAGAAGAATTATGGAACCCTTGATAGAAAGAGGGAAGTTGGGAAGAGGGTAGGTTTAGGGGGAAAGATTATGAGTTATCTTTTGGACATGTTGAGCTTGAAATGCCTATGGAAGATCTAGGTGGTGATGGAGATGCAGGACAGACACTCAGGAAAGAGGTGAGGGCCAGTTATATAGACTTGGGAATCATGTTAAAGGGACAATAGTTAAATCCATGGAAGCTGATTCTAAGAGGTAGAGAGACAGATGAGAAGGCCGAGGACTGTGGCCTAGGTTATGCTCATGCTTAGGGTGCCTGGGACTCCTCCTTTGGGAACTGGCTTGAAGGTGGTAGTGGCAGACTAGATGGTAAGATAAGCCCTGGACCTGGTCAGGGATTGGATGGGATGAAATAAAGCCTCTGTTGCTTGGGTGTTTATAGATTCTGTATAACTGCAGTTAGTTTTATTGGGAGTGGAGCCAATGCCCATTACCCCCTTTATCATGAATCATAGTTGAGTGTTGCGGTAGGAGCTCTGTCCTCAGTTCCCTGTGTAAGTCTTCTCCCTCTTCCCCCTCCCTCCATGCGATGCAAATTAGACTAGTTTTTCTTTAAAAGGTATTAAAACTGTGTCCTTGAGATCTAATTGTCAGAAGAATTAGGCTGGGGCCATTGACATAACTTTCTGGTCAGTTGTATACAAAACAGTCATAAGAGGGGATGGAGCTCTTCTCTGAGACTTCAGACCTTAGACTATAATCATTACAACCCTAGGAAACTGCTTAGCTGGATCAGTGCTTTGTCCTGGATGAACATCCCTTCTCTGCTCTGAATGTCCTTGTTGTGCTATGGCTAAATAAAAGCTCCTTTTGTTAACTGTTAGATGGATTATGTATGCATTTCATTGTTATTTCAGACCCAAACTACCCAGAGACCAGCCTGAGTGGGGCCTAGCTCATTATGCCCATCAATTTTAAATGCACAAAGGCTAGGGATTCTTTGGATTTATACAGATATTTGTTACTCTTCAAATCTTGTCTGCTTCAGCAAATAACGTGAACTCAAAGAAACTGAAGTGAGGTTGGTTTCACAAAGAATAAGTCATGCTTGTTATACCTTATACCCTTTTTTTCCTGTAGGACGCTAGAGAAAATGAATCTATTGATTTAAGGGAAGACATGTAACAAAGTCTGATATGGACAAAATGAAAACGTTGTGGGCTGGATAGTAATTCACTTAGGTATAATTATGACTGTTTGAGTCTGAAAAGTATCCGGGCAGTTGTAGCCCTAGTGGTGTGCCTCATATCTTTGTACTTAGCCCTATTTAGTCAATATTTTTTTATCAAGGACTTGCTTATATAAGGCATGATATCAGAAACTCCAAATGATATTTTTCATGGAGTCTAGAATTTAGAGCTGAAAGAGTGGTATAAAAGATGCTATGGAGAAATGTATGAGCAGAAAAAAAGGATGGTCCAGTTACATAGTGAGAGCCACTGTGTTGAGACATGTTGAGCTTGAAATGCTTATGGAAGATCTAGGTAGTGATGGAGATGCAGGACAGAAACTGTGTCTTCCAGAGAATAAGAGGAAGTTGCCCAGTATTTTTGGTGGCTCCTCTGGAGCTCATGGAAGAATAAGTGTTGTAAAGTTTGGGTTGTAGCCATGATAGTAAAGCAATCTCTCTGTAGTTTTTCTCAATCCATCAGTCTTAATAGTCTCACTCCAGACTCACTCCACATAAAATTCTCTTTATAATGTTTCTTCATCAAATAATAGGTGACAGGTCACAAGAAAAAAGTTTCTCATCACCTTCTTTCTGTCTTGTTCATAGTTTCTCTCATAGATCAGGGACAAAACCACATGTTCTCTACCTGATGTCATCAGCGTGAGTACCTCAGAATGACAACGATGACTCAGCTTGTCAACAACAACTCCTATCTTGTCTCTTTTTCTAAAGAGATAATAAGTTTTTATATCTGCTGTAGGAGAGGCTTTTGAAACAAGTGTTACACATAGAAAATTGGTTTTGGAGTCAGGGGCCCCTGGATTAAAGCCTGGTCTCTGATATACTGAAAACATGAACAAGTTACTTACCTTCTCATGCTCCTCCTGGCGACTCTGAGGCTATGATTCATAAATAACATTCACAGGTCTTCCCTGATGCTGTCTCCATGTGTAGAATTGTCTTCTCCCTAATCTCCGTTTCCTAGCTTCCTTGGCTTCCTTCAAGGTTCACCTTGTCGTCTTTTTGGCAAGAAGTGTTTCTCAGTAATTAATCTTAGTGACTTGGAGACCCTTTGAGACTGCCTCTAGTTTGTCATACACACACACACACACACACACACACACACACACACACACACACATGTTTATATTTATCTTGTTTTTGTTGTTTCCTCCGTTAGGCTGTAAGCTCCTTGAGGGCAGGGATCCTTTTTTTCCCCTTTGTATCTTTAGTGTTTAGCGCAGTTCCTGGCACATAGTAGGCGCTTAATTGCTGGTTGACTTACACAAAACGAAGTCCACTTTCTGGCCATCTCCTCCTTTTCAAGAGAAGCTGTTGTTTTACTACCCCCTTCCTTCTTTGCCCCTTCTCTATGACTACTGCCTCTGTCATACCACTTTTTCTGGAAAATTCCAGCAAGGCTTAACTTTACTTTCTGCTCTCCCTGGTTGTCTTTCCCCCTCTCTGACTACTCCTTCTCTGTCTCCTTTGCTTGACATGAGTAGTTAAGTTAGAGAGAACCTGAAGAGAGCAGTGTCACAACCTGAAGAGAAAGGTATCAAGAAGAGGATTTGTTAGGTACTGAGCCCTGTACACAATTAGGTAAGCCATGGTCCCTGCCTTTTATGAGCTTAAAAAAGTCTAATAAGCTTTTAAAATAGTATTTTGTGGATCATTTTTAGCTTTTAGCATTTCATTTTAGCTTTTAGAATGGTAGTACTGCACCTTGAGGCAATAAAAGAGGGTAATATAATTAGCTTCTTTTTAAAAATGTTTTTTAAATATTGAAAATTTTTTAAATATTTAAAATAATAAATTTTAAATATTAACATTTTTGAAAAATATCCTTCTTGTTTTAGGTACAGGAAGAGGACTGATGGCTGTAAAATCCTTGCAGGTTGGTACTGGCTTTCTCCACCCTTGAATTTTTTGGGGGGGGAGGGGATGGAAGAAACAACTAGTTATAGATTTTACTCTTCTGTTTTATAGTTTAAATCAAATTATTTCCCTATATTTTTTAGTTCATTTGCTCACAGTTATACTTAATGTTTGTATGATGAAGAAGAAAGGTCAGTAGGAATCATAAGCAAGGGGAACAGATGTGTAAATAACATGTTGAATTTGCTTGAAGAGTTGTATGTGAGACAGATTTGCAGCTTTTTATATAATCCTCTTTTTCTGTTTTACTTTGTATATGGACAGGCTCATCTTAGTTGGTGTTTAAATTTAGAATTAAAGTAAGGAAAAGAAAAGAAAGAAACAAGTCATGGGAGAGAAGTATAATGGCATATTATTTTGCTGTAAGAAACATCAGTGATGAATCCAGAAAAGCATGAAAAGACTTAATTGAACTGATAAAAACTGCAGTAACTACATAGCATCATAACAGTGTAAATGGAAAGCAACAACAACAACAACAACAAAACAATTCACACAATGCTGTGAAGTTATAATGACCAAGGGTGGCTACAGGGAAGAAATATGAGAAAACAGCCCCTTTTTTTGCTGATATGGGGGACTATGGGTGTGGAACGTTGCATTTAATTAGTCAGACTTTTTTGGTGTATTGGTGTTTTTTGTTCTTTTAAACTATTTTTGGACTATTTTTGTTCTTTTAAAAATGATTTGTTAAAGGGATGGCTTTGAGGGATACAGTATGAAAATAGGTGATGTAAAAACAAAATGTATCAATAATTCTTAAAAATGTATGTTCTAGTATTAGTATGTGGTTTTGTTTCTTCAGGAAGGCATAATAGCTTCATTCTATAATAAAATAAATATATGTAATTCTTTGCATCTTGGGAAGAAAATAGACCCCTTGTGGAGTACAGGTTGTTTGACCTAAAATATGTGGAGGGATATGGTTGAAAATACCTTATGTGTTCATGCACAAGTATGGGTGCTTTTTTATGATTTTGTGTTTTAGAGATTTTATAGTAAATAGGTTAAGTTTTATGTGCAAAGGAGACAGATCAAAGAATGACTCAAGGATTACTCATATGACATTTTGACACTTTCTGGTGCCAAAGTCACTTTTCTTCTTAAAATTTTTTTCTTTTCATATTTATATTTCTTTGGGAAAATCTGAAAACACCACTTAGATTGTGGGGACTTCAGTTACCAAAGTAGCTGTCAGTTGGGAGGTCTGCTTGGCCCAATTCATTAGTTACATTGTTGATAATTTAAATTTCAGTCCCCAGAACCATTCAGGGTCTTTTGTACACCTGAGTAACATTAGGCAACAGAGAATCAGTGTGATAAAATGGAATGAATATTGGATCTGGGATCTGAGGACCTGGGTTTAAACCAGTCTCTGCCATTAGCAATTTGTATGACCTTGGACAAAAAATTGACTTCTCTAGATAGCTAATTTCCTAATATGTTCAATGAAGGGGCTGGGTTTTTTGTTGTTGTTGTTGTTTTGTTTTTTTAAGAGAGGAATGCTTTATTTTACTGGTCCCCAAGATCACCCTGAGTTCATTTACCCCAGAGAGGTGACTGATGCTTGTATCTTCTTAGGGTAGTCCTGTTCCATACTTTATCTTGTTTGTCATATTCAGAATAAGCAATAGTCTTCTCATTGTGTTCACGTGATGGTGGGCTGCTGTTATCAGATTCTGAAAGGCCCCTGCCTGTCATCCATCTTCATCTGAAAACATAATACGGCATCAGTTTCCTGTTTCAGAGCATTGGGGTCCCTGGTCCAAAATGGGGCTCTCCCTATGATAGGCATAATAGGAACTTACAGAGAGTTCTGTTATTCCCTTTGAAGAGGTGAGAATAGTTACCCTTGGAGGTGGGATGAGGGAGGTAAATAGAGGGGGCTCAAGGATACCCTTCTCTGTCCCTGTAGCTGTTTATTCACTGGTGTCCTGAAATCTACAGGCTACAGGTTGCTGTCCTGAGCCTGACAATTGTTACCAGCCAGTGTCCCCAAGCTGAGGTTTGGGGGAAGAGCTTTTGGGGTGAATGTGTGGAGGGAAGGTGAGAGGTGAGCAGGTGTTCTGTCACTTGCGTCTGGAGGAGACAGGTAAGACTGGCCTCTGTCGTCCTCATCTTTATGATCTCAGAAGCCTGTTCATGATACTTATATCACATAAAAGGGGAGCAGGAGGTGGGATGGGGAGGGGGAAGGAAAGGTACAAGTACCCTTGACATCATGGAAGTTGCAGTCAGAGTCCCAGTGTCACAGTGGACAGTAGCCATGTCCCTTGTGTCCTGTAATGGTCTCAGAAAAGTCTATTCACTCGGATGGAATTATCTCCAGGAATTATCTCATAGAGTGATAGATGACTGTTTGAGACTTGGCTTCTAACTCAGTTATGTTGGTTCTGTGATGTCTCTTAAATGATAGGGCTGTGCATTTGAGTGACTTTCTTTTGCAAGTAAATTTTTCTTGATATTGCTATCCTGGCCTCTATGTCCATTCCCCTCCTGGAGTCCTATGGGCTTTGCTAAGTCCATGCCTACTGAGGAACTGGTGATGATGAGGAAGAAAGAAGATGTGGCCTCCGGGGAGCGAGAGACCAGAGCTCCTCTGGCATCCCTCTGACCTGCTACACCTGATTATAGAAGTCATACTGAGACTGAGGCTACAGAGGGCCGTCCCTTTAATGTGAGAATAAGGCTGGAGGAGCTGAGGCCCTCCACCCAGAGCAAATAGATTTTCATTTCCTATTGATCAGGGAAGGCTCCAGTCAAAATCTGATCTGTATTGAATGTAGGAAGGGATCCAGGGTAACAGGCTCCTTCTTCGCATACCTGATAAAGAGGGGATTGAGCAACAGTCCAAACTCTTTCACTGCTTTCAAACAGACCTCATGGAGATTGCAGGGATCGGGGAGGGCTTATCTGGGAAGGCCCTGTTCAGAGTCTATGTTCAGGGTTTGGACAAGGTGAAATTCAAGGAAATCAGCCTAGACTACGCCCTGTACTCATATTCTGATTCTTAGTAGTCACTTCAGTTTCTTGGTGTTAAGGGGAAGTAAGGCACAATCCAGGCATTAGCCATTTTGAAGCTAAAATTATGAGGACACTGATGGAGACCTCGCTGTCTAGCTGGACAAGGCCATTGTCCTTTATGGGCATGCACCAAAGCCATGAATTCTGAGCTTCTAGTTGAGAAGGTAACTGGGCCCTACCTATGGCCCAGGGGTTGTAGCTTTCTCCACTGGCCCTTCTTTTGCCTAAGACAGAGCCATTCCACAAATGACATCCCAGTTTGGCAGCTACTGCCTGGGCCTCCATGTCCGTTGCCCTCTGCAGGACTGTGCTAAGCCCATGCTAGCTGAGGGGCCCAGGCCCTGGCAGCCCACCATCCTGCTCGTGGGATTACAGAACTGTGCAAGGAGGTTGAATTAAATGAACCTCTAAAGTCCCTTACTTCTGGGCTTGTAATTAATAAAAAATACAATTTTGCTTTCATGTCAAAAGCAAAGTTGTATTTTTTATTAATTTAGGCCTATCCTAATTGTTACTTTAATGATTTGTGTACTTTCTGTGTCTAAACTGTTACTAACATGATAGCTTCCCTGAGGGTGAGGATGGTTTCTTAATTATCTTAATTATTTTTGTATCTGCATAAGATTTTACAAAATATCTTGGCACTTAACACATTGAGTAAAATTGAATTCTCCTTGGAAAAAAGTTACTAATATATTTCATACAAGGAGCCATATATGTGCCAATCCTTTACCACATCCAGGTTCTATACTTAGGGAAGAAAGTGTACTTGTGGCACTGGGGGCTGGTTACTTAGCCTGTAAAATCAAGGTCAGGAGAAACAGAACTTGACATCTCATAGAGTGATAGATGACTGTTTGAGACTAGGCTTCTAACTCAGTTATGTTGGTTCTGTGATGTCTCTTAAGTGATAGGGCTGTGTGTTTGAATGACTTTCTTTTGCAAGTAAATTTTTCTCGAAGAGAGTTTAAATTTGTTTCTTTTTTTGCAAGCCGGGAGAGCTGATTATTTCATTGCCTGAGAAGTGCCTGCTCACTACAGACACTGTAATTAAAAGCTACTTGGGAGATTACATTACTAAGTAAGTAATAATACATACATTCTCATAGTGGAAGTAGTTTTTTTTTAATAATTCTTAATAGTTGGTTTTCTTAATAAGTCTTAATAGTTGTCAGTTTAAAAAATTTGACAAGTTGGACTGCTCTTGACAACATTAAATTGTGATTATAAAAAGCTGATGTTTCCTGGCAGTTTGTTCCAAGAATCCTAGATTTAGAGAGGAAAGGGTCCATAGAGCCCCATCCAATCCATTTTACAGATGAGGAACTGAGGCTTACAGAGTGACTTTATTGTTGTTCAGTTGTTTCTGACTCTTTATGACCCCCACCCCAGTTGTTGTCGTTTGTTTTTTGTCAAAGATGCTTGCTATTTCCTTCTGCAGCTCGTTTTACAGATGAGGCAACTGAGGCAAAAGGGTTATGTGACTTGCCCAGGGTCACACAGCTAGCAAATGTCTGAGGCCAGATTTGAACTCAGGAAGACAAGTCTACCTGACTCCAGGCCCAGCACTCTATCCACTGCCCCTCCTTGCTGCCCAGAGTGACTTGCTGAGGTCAAACCCAGTTCTTCTGACTCCACATCCAGCTGAAATTATTTGAGGGTCCTTTATTTGCTATTGAGCTCTACAGTTTCTTGAAGCCTTTGACAGATTTGAAGCACCCTTGAAGTAATGAAGGACCTGGACTTATTTGGCCTAGAAGAAAGGATAATTTTTGGACACATAAGTTCTTTTCTTTTTATCTCTTTTGAGATACAGACCTAATACTGGTATTGCTATGTCAAAGGGTATAACCCTTTGGGCATAGTTTGAAAGTCACCTACAATGCATTTGTGTCTCAATTTTCCCACATCCCTTCCAACATTTGTCATTTTTCTTTTCTGTCATATTAGTCAATCTGTTAGGTGTGGGGTGGTAGCTCAAAGTTGTTTTAATTTGCATTTCTCTAATCAGTAGTGATTTACAGCACTTTTTCACATGACTATACATAGCTTTGATTACTTCATCTGAAAATTGCCTGTTCGTATCCTTTGACCATTTATCAATTGAGGAATGGCTCTTATTTTTATAAATTTGACTCAGTTTTCTATGTATTTGAGAAATGAGGTCTTTATCAGGGAAACTTGCTGTAAAATTTTTTTCCACAGTTATGATTCCTATGTATGTTCCCCCATCCTATTTCCCCTCCTGTTTATCCTACTCTCTCTCTCTCCTTTCAACTGTCCCTTCTCTTTTTGCTTCTGACTTTTACCTCCCCTAATCTGCCCTCCCTTCTATCAGCCCCTCCCCCCACCCCCTTTTCCCCTTCCTCTCCTACTTTCCTGTATGATAAGATAGATTTCTATACCTAACTGAATGTGTATGTTATTTTCTCTTTGAACCAGTTCTAATGAGAGTAAGATTCTTGTGCTCCCACTTACCTCCCCTATATTCTCCTCCACTGTAAAAGCACTTTTGCACCTCTTCTATATCAGATAATTTACCCCATTCTACATTTCCTTTTCCCTTTCTCCTAATAAATTCCTTTCTCACCCCTTAATTTTATTTTTTTAGATAATCATCCCGTCGTATTCAAGTCACATGTGTGCCCTCTGTCTATGTATACTCCTTCTAAGTGCCTTACTTAAGAGAAAGTTTTTAGGAATTACAAGTTTTGTTTTCCCGTGGAGGAATGTAAAAAGTCTAACCTTATTGAGTCCCTGATGAGAAGAGGGCCTTGTAAAATGAACCAGATCCTGATACGTCCTCATGACCTTTGACTGATGCCATAGTATGAATACATACTACCAGGTGGCCCATTCTATGTCACTTCAAGTGAAGGGAAATAGTTTCTAGGTGGTAGCAGATTATGAAAGAACATATTAAAATTAGAGCATTAGCCTATTTCACATTTTATAGAAAAACTAACTAATTTTTCAAAATCTCTACTTTTAAATAGGTGGACACCTCCTATATCTCCCTTGTTGGCCCTGTGTGCCTTTTTGATTTCAGAAAAACATGCAGGAAACAAGTCTCCCTGGAAACCCTACCTGGACGTTTTACCAGAGACCTATACTTGTCTTGTCTGCTTAGACCCACAGGTGGTGAGGCTTTTACCTAACCCTTTAAAAACGGAAGCCCAAGAGCAGAGGACTCACGTTCAGGAGTTGTTCGATTCTTCCAGAGGGTTCTTTTCTTCTCTCCAATCTTTATTTACTGAGCCTGTGGAACACGTTTTTCATTATAATGCTTTTCTTTGGGCTTGGTGTACCATTAACACCAGAACAGTGTACATGAAACACGCACGGAAGGAATGTCTTTCGGCAGAGCCAGATGTATATGCTTTAGCTCCGTATTTAGATCTGTTGAATCACAGCCCAGGAGTTCAGGTAAGAAATGTATTTTGCTTTTTAGGAGGAAGACCAACATACATATAGAATTTGACTTTGTGTAGCAGGTGGAATCAAAAATCAATCAACACAAATTTGTTAAGTGCCTACTATGTGCCAGGCTGTGTGCTAAGCATTGGGAGTACAAAGATTGAAACAATCCCTACTTACAATGAACTTACATTCAAGTGAGGGAGATATCAAACACATCTAAGTGTATATACATACATACATACATACATATAATGCATGTACATATACATATATTTATATGTGCTTGGTGTCTCTGTATGCACACATGCATACACATGTATGTATACACATATAGACGTGTGTGTGTATATACATATATATACACATCCATGCAATATATAGATAAAATAAATACAAATATATACAAAATAGTTACCTACAAGGTAGTTTGAGAGAGTGAACTTAAACTAGTTGAGTTTCTCAGGAAAGGCTTCTTTCAGGAGATGATGCTTAATCTTTGTCTTTAAGAAAGAATGGGGCCCTGAGGGTGAAGGATAAGGAGGAAAACATATTCCAGACACGTAGGAGAGTGTGAGGAATAGCCAGAGAATAACATCTGATGAGACTGGAAAGGTAGAGTGTGGTAAGATTGTAGAGGGCTTTACAAGCTAAACATAAGGGTTTGTATTTTTTCTAGAGGCCACAGGGGGTCTCTAGAGGTAATTGAGTAGGGGAGGCATGTCAGACCTGCTTTGAAGGAAAATTACTTTGTTGGCAGTTTCTCAGATAGACTGGAGTGAGGACCAGAGAAAGACTTGGGGCAGAGAGACCATTTTGGAGATTGTTGTAATAGTCAAGATGAGAGTCAATGAGGCCCGGACATAGGATGAGCAGGGATGCTGGAAAGAAGGGGGTGGAGATGAGATGAATTGTAGAGGTAGAAACTGTAAGCTTTGGTGATTGATTGGATATGTGGGGGAAGGAAGAGTCCTGGATAATGCTTAGAACTGTGTGTATGTAAGAGCAACCTGGTGCCAGCAAAATTGTTTTCTCTCTCTTTTTTTTTTTTTTTTTTTTTTTTTTTGCTTTTTGGTGAGGCAATTGGGGTTAAGTGACTTGCCCAGGGTCACACAGCTAGTAAGTATCAAGTGTCTGAGGTCGGATTTGAGCTCGGGTCATCCTGACTCCAAGGCAAGCACTCTATCCACTGTGCCACCTAGCTGCCCCATTTTCTCTCTTTCTAAAAAGCTCCTTTCCTCCCACATGCCTCTCTCATTGTGGTCCAAGTGCCTCATGCTGCTCAGAGTCCCCACTTGCAGCAATCTGGTATTGCTCATCACTCTTCCATGTTCCAAAATAATTCTTTCATCATTCTTCCCTTTCCCTGGATTCCCCCATTGAAACTCTGGTTCCTTACGCGTGCTGCATATCACAGCTAGTCTTTAGGAGGAAAGGAATTTCATTAGATCAGTGACCACTTAGGTATAAATAACTACTTTGTGGTTTGATCCGTGGACATAGTTCATGAGATCAGGTTACCTGTAGTTACGGTAGTTAGTGGACAGACCTGATTGTGCTGAATAGAGCTGCTTTATGTTGCTGTTCAGATTTTGTTATAACTACAAGGTGCTTTGCGATTGATAAGGTATTCTCCTTACAACCTTTTGAGGTTGGTACTCATAGAAAAGATTCCTTGGTCTTTTAAATAAAGTGGTCAGTAAAAGTACCAATATTAAGGTGGAGAGTGGGTAGAAAAGAGAATGACTGTTTTGACCTGTATAATTTCCCCATTGTAGTATTCTGGAAGGAATACTAGATTTAGAGTCTAAAGACTTGGTTTTAGATACATGCTTTGCTCATCTGTAAATGGGGATAACTTATACTTGAGTTGTTGTGAGGAAAGGGTTTTGTAAACATTAAAGTGTTATATAAATGTATTGTGATCTCCTGGTGTGGGGGGGGCCATCTCAAAGAATTCAGAGTCAGACTGCGTCTGATCCAAGTATAGGCATTTATTGGGAATTATACCTCCAACGGGCTGGATTCCAAGAGGAACCAGCTGCTTAGTAAGACAAGACAGACAGTTTTATAGTGTAATGATGGTGATTACGCAACAGAAATTATTAATATTAAAAAGGCAGGAGGGATTTGTTAAGGAATTAGGTAATGGAGAGGGGTTTGTTAAAGAATTAGGTAATAGGGAGGGGTCCCAGACTCAATGAAACTGTGTGCAATTATCCACAATGCATACAGAAAAATCCACGACTGGGGAAGCAGGTATGTGTTGTAGTGATATTGTAATAAAACTCTCTGTGTAATAAGTTTATTGTAGATCAGTTCTTTACTATTACTGTGCAGGTGCCTACTTAGGGAAAGTCCTTTCTATTGTTTTGGGGCCCACATCCTGCTCAGGCATCCTGGTGGTGCTGCTTTCTGATTGGCTGGCTATTGTGGTCCTGTCTGAGATTAGATGGATGTGGTTGTGGTTGAGTGCATGGACACCTGTTGTTTCTGTGGGAAATATGAAGAATGGGTATAGAGGCAGTGGCTAGGATCCCATAACGTGGACACAGCTGCTGTTTCTGTGAGAAATGTGAGTTCATGGACACACTTTTTGTTCTAGTGAGCAGTGAGGCATATGTGAGGAAGTTAGGACATTGAGTCTGGGGTGGGGAGGGGAGGGAGGGGCAGTGGGCCTACTATTCAGTGAGGCCTGTGGTGTGGTTAAAGCCAGATTGTGTGATTAAATCAGGACGTGCCTGAGACCCATAAGGAAGTTAGAATATCGGGGCTGGGGGTTGATGGGGTTCCATCAAATATATAATTCCATCCCTTATTGCCCTCCTAAAGGCAGCAGAATTAGGTTGGGTATTATGAGTATCTGGGTTCTTGCCAATCCTTAGCCTTCATGAATCTTTGAAATTCTCTTCTTCATTTACTATTCCTAGCTAGCTAGCATTCAGTAGCGCTTTAAAGTTTGCAGAATGCTTTACAAATATTGTGAATATTATATCATTTGATCCTCACAACAACCTTGGGAGGTAGGTGCTGTTATTATCTCCCATTTTACAGATGAGGAAATTAAGGCAGACAGGTTAAGTGACTTGCTCAGGGTCATACAGCTAGTAAGTGTTTGAGACTGGATTTGACATTCCTGACTCCAGGTCCCTTGCTCTATCTACTGTACCACCTAGCTACCTCTGTTCTGAACAACATCTACAATTCAGTGGTAATCAGGTATCTTGAAAAGGGCTGCTTAGAGTGAAAATGTTTTAAAGAAGACATTTTGTTATGTAATACATTAATGGATGATAATCTCATCTCCTTCATTTGGTAGTCTACCAGTGTGCAGCTAATGATGATGCCTCCTTATACTACTATAGTATTGCATGCTTTCCAGCATGTTTTTTCTACATGTGATCTTATTTGGTCCACGTAACTAACAAAGAGGCAAATAGAACAATTTTTTCCTGAGGCAACCAAGGCACAGATAAGTTAGGTGTCTTCTTTCATTCTCCATGAGTATAGTATTTAATCACAATTGTCTTCTCTACCCCAACCACCATTTTCATCCTTGGTAAATTCAATATTCACATTGATGCCCCTTCAAACATTCTTATTTCCCATTTCATATTTTCCTTAACTCCTGTTACTTCTTTTTACACGCTGTTACTGCTACCCACGTTGATGGTTGTACCTTTAACTTCACTATCACCCCACTCTCCATGATCTAGAACTTTTTTTTTTTAATTAATTAATTTTTTGTTTTCAACATTCACTTTTATAAGATTTTGAGTTCTAAATTTTTCCCCTCCCCAAGATGACCTGCATACATATATAATTATATTAAATATATTTCCGCATTAGTCATGTTGTGAAAGAAGAATCAGAACAAAAGGGAAAATACACAAAAAAGAAAAAAAATACAAAAAAAAGAAAATAGTATGTTTCAGTCTACATTCAGACTCCATAGTTCTTTCTCTGGATGTGGTTGGCATTTTCCATCATGGGTCTTTTGGAATTGTCTTAGATCATTGCATTGCTCAGAAGAACTAAGTCTATCAAAGTTGGTCATTGCACACTGTTGCTGTTACTGTGTAATGTTCTGGTTCTGCTCACTTCACTCAGCATCACTATGATCTAGAACTTTGACATTCATGTCTTTGAATTTTCTCTGTCTGAGCATTCGTCTTCTCTCTGAAGACTTTGGTCTATTACCTAGAGTCCAGCCTTTTTCCTTCACAGGATCTTTTTGTTAACCCATTTAACAAGGCAGTGGCCCCTTGGAATTCCTTTCCCCCCTGTCCTTCTGCTGTCCATGCTCTCCTCACTGGGTCGTGGCCCCTCGCCTGTCTATCCCATTGTCTTCTGCCTCTCTGCTTAGACTGCTGTACGCTGCTAGAGGAGGTCATGGGACTGTGTCAGTTGGATTCACTACTTAACCTCAACTGAGACCTCCATCTTGTTTATTCATCTGATATCCAATCACAGTCCCTTCAGCAGATATTCTAAACACTAATAATCTTTGATAAAACAAACAGAACTTTCCTTTGACCCTTCTCTCTTCTTGTGCTATCATCCTATATCTCTTATTTGAACCATTAAACTCTAGGAAGAGTAATTTGAATTAGATGCCACCATATCTCTGTAGCCCCAATTTCTTCCTTTTGATCCATCCATATCTTTAACTGTACTCTGGACAGTTTCATTTTGTTTTATATCTGTCTCTCTAGTATCTAGTATAGTGTTTCGCTCATAGAAAGTGCTTGACAAATGTTAATTGAGTTTAATTGTTCAAGTTCATTGAGCTTGTTAATCATGAGGCAGAATTATAAGCTAATTCTCCTTGTTTTGTTCCCTTTATAGTCATCAATGCCGTAGCAATCAAGGGTTAGTGTGGACAGCTTAGCCTGCAGGGTTAAGCAAATGTGTATGCTAATGTATCCAGCTAAGGAGCTGATGATCTGTGACAGAGGCGGGGCATGAAATGATTTTTAGTGGTACAATAGCTAGATAGTGGAAAAAGGGAGGCAGAGCCCTAGACCGCATTGTGAAAGGGGTCTATCTCTTAATGATCAGAAGAGTCCTGTTACAGAGAGGAAGCTATAGGCTTCCTGTGTCTTCAGATTTGTGAATAAATTTATATTCATTGGTGAATAAATGAATATAATAAGTTTAGATAGTTATATATACATGTATATGTATGTGTATTTGGACTTAGTTTTCTCATCTGAAGAATGAGAGGGTTAGACCAAATAATTTCTTAGATGCCTCTGAGCTTTGAAATTCTGTCATTACCAATAGAATAACTCATGAATGGGTCTTCTCAATGCAGTTTTGGAAGAACATAATAACCTTAAATAGAGGAGAGTTAAGATTGTCAGTACAACTGTTGAAGATGTCAAATGTCTTCTAGAGAAGAGCAATACAGAAAGATGCTGTGAACATAGTAGAGGCTGAATAAAATACTTTGTGACTTTGCAGTCGTTAAAGTGTATTTCATTTTTACTTAAGTTGGTGGTGCCTTTATGTTCCATCCTTGGGATGGAGCAAACCAAGATTGTGCTGCCCTTCAATTAGGTTCGACTGTGAACCTAAGGTCCAAATTTCTTGTCCGTGCTTTAGGCCTGAAGTGTTCTTAAAACGAACTCTTAGATATATTCCTTAGTTTCCTTTCTGGCCTGGGAATCTATTGCTAGGCATAATATTCTTTTCACTTAAGGAAAATTCCCCTATTCATACCCACTTCTTAGTCTATAGAAGAAGGTTTTTTTTTCTTCTTCTCAGTATATTTCTTCATATTTGCTACCTATAAGCTATGAACATTTGCCCAAAATCTGTAGTTGTTTTTAAACCTTATAACTAGACGTTGAAGCAAGAAATAGAACTTTTTCTTCATTTTTTTCAGTACCTAAGAAATTACATCTACCAGTGTTCTTATTATAGCTGTGTATTTAGGGTTAAAAAACAAAATCAGATCTATGAGTCTAATTCTGTCTTAACAAACAAACCAAAAAGCTCCCCAAAAGCCCCCCCCAAATGTTTTGTTGGTAACTTTTGTCTTTACATCAGAATCGTTTCGGTTTCCCTAGACCTCTAAATCAAGTCTTCCTTTGTGACAAAGAAAAATAACCAAGCAAAATCATCCAGTGCTATGAAATTCTATGACAGTATATATGATACTCAATCCTAGCAATCCCCTGTCTCTGTGAAATGGAGGGAGACAGGTAGGTTTTGTTGTCTGTTCTCTGAGACCATTGCTTTTTCAGTTATTCAGAGTTTGACTTCCTTTTGGTGATCTTTCATATATGTATTACTGTAGTCATGAGTATTGTTTAATTGCAAATTTTGCCCTGCATCAATGCACACCAATTTTTCTGTGTTAATCTGGTTTGTTCATATTTGTCGAATGAACACAGTAATATTCTATTATGCTCATGTATCACAATTTTTTCAGCCATTCTTCAGTTGTTGGGGACCCATTTTATTTCCAGTTCTAGGAATTCTGTGGTGAAATTTCAGTATGAATTGGGCCTTTATTTCTGTCTTTGACTTCTTTGGAGAGATCTGGAACTGTAGTGAAACCATTGGTTCAAAGGGTATATATAAGGAGTTTAGTCTCTTTTCTTGCATGATTCCCAAGTGATATCCAGAATGGTTGGGCTACCTCATAGCTACACCAACAATGTATAATCTTTACCTATGTTGACTGTTCCTTTTTTTTCAATCTGCATGGAAAATTGAAAATTGATTTGAGATGAATCTATGTTCTTATGTGGACATTTATAGTTTGCAATTCTTAAAAAAAAACTGTTCATATCTGGGTAATCTAGATTTTGTAGATTTCATAATACTGATTTCTCTTGGTTCTCCTCCCAGCTATCTGACCACTTCTTAGCCACTTTGCTTTATCATTGGTATGTATTCTGTCCCTAACTTCTTCCTTCTAAACATATATACATGCACTCTTACATTCTCTTTCTCTCTTTCTCTCTGTCTCTCTCTGTCTCTCTCTCTCATTGTCTCTGTCTCTCTTTCCCTGACATGGGTTTAATAATCTCTGTGATTACTCTCAAATCTCTATATCCAGCCCTAGTCTTTTTCCCACCTCAAGTCCTATATTACAGACTGCCTGTAATAGACATTTTAACCTATATGTTTTCAGGTCTTCCTGAAGTCTTCCGGACTTCAAATCCAGCCCTCCCTCCATTGCACTACATAGCTACCACCACATTCACTAGATTATTAGCTCCTCAGAGGCAGGGGGACTTTAGTCCTTTTCACCTTTACCTTATTATTAGTACTTAGCACATAGTAGGTGCTTAATAAATGCCTGTCAGTTGATATAATTTAACCACTTAGCCACCTTGGAATTAATCATGTCTGTTAAGTGTGATTTTAATCTGTTTTTCCTTTGTAGGTAAAAGCAGCGTTTAATGAGGAAACTCATTGTTATGAAATTAGGACTGCTTCACATTGCAAAAAATATGAAGAACTGTTCATCTGTTATGGCCCTCATGATAACCACCGACTGCTTTTGGAATATGGATTTGTTGCCATCAATAATCCACATAGTGCTGTTTATATATCAATAGGTCAGGTAAAGTTTTTTCCTGTGCACATGATGTGAGTGAATTCTTAAAGGCATTTTTATATAATCTTTAATAAGGAGAATGTGTTTGTGATTTATTGTCTTCTCTGTAGACCTGTTTAGTCAGTTCTTTGACTTGAGTTTGCAGCTTAAATTTTTAATGAAAGAAAACTGGGATTCTGTGGGGAAGCTGATCAGAGGAAGGCTGCTGTTGATAGAAAGAAGCATAGCACAGTGAGATAGATAAAAATAATGTTAACTCTCATACTTCTTTGTACCACTTGTGCACTTTCACACTGCTTTGTGTATTTGTGTACCTTTTTATTTCTTGCTAATAGATTATAAGCTTCTTGAGGGCAGGAACTGTGTCTTACTCATTTTTGTTTCTCCATTAGTGCCTACCACTATTTCTTGTTTGTAGTAGGTGTTCAGGAAATGTATACTGAATTGAATAGAGAGGAAAGTGTGGAAATTATTGTACCCAAATCATGTTCAATTGAGCAGAATTAGATAGGGATTTATTCAGTGATAAGTATTTACTGAGCATCTGCTTTGTATAAGACACTGGATTGGTTACTATGGAAATTACCAAAAAAAAAAAAGTGTATAACACAGCTTACAGTCTAGAGAGAGAAAATGTGTATTTTTCATTATGTTCTCCAAAATTGCTATTTTCATCAGTATGGTATATTTTGTTTTATTATAACCTGGACATCTAGTCAGACATTAACTGCTTTAGATTGAACGAAATTCCAAGAGGTATTTTTTCATTCAATAACAGAGGATTGATATTCCTGGCCTGAAGCCATAGAAGCTGTTTTTTGGTCAGTATTAAAACTCTTCCTTTTCTATGGCTTCAGGTGATGATGGGTAATGAATTGATATTTAGTCTACAAATATTGGATAAAACAGGTTTGATGATTCTGAAGGATATGGATTTTAAAGGAGATTTTAGAAATCCTTAATATAACAAAGATGCTGCTTTAGCTCTTAGAATATTTACCTGCTCATTTAAATTAAAAATGACTAAAATAATAATTTTTCAGCCTTATAACAAGCTAGCTTTGTGACTGGCTCAGATATTTCATATTCGTGACATATTATGTAATATTATTAAAGAATTTTAAGAGCTAGAGTTTTTCTATTCTGACTCCTTTATTTTACTGTTGAGGAAACTGAGGCACAGAGAGGTAGGCCACAAAGCCACCTAATGATTTAATGGTAGAGTTAGGGCTAAAATTCAGGACTCTGTACTGCTACATAAGTGATTTTTTGCATTAGTCTGTGCGATTAACAAGAGTCATTGGATAAGTAGGGGGAAATAGAAAACATATTATAGTTTAAACTATTGGATTAAAGTTGTTTTAATTTGAATTGCTTTTATAGTTTCAGCATTTATAAATTGTATGATAGCTATGATAAAAAAACCAAAAAATCTTATTACCTAATCCTTTTGGTTGGTTTGCATATTGGAAGTAAGAATTAAAGCTGGATATAATAAACCAGCAGGTAGTGAGTATATTGGAAGGGACCCTGGACTTGGAGTCAGGTGAGACCAGTGTTCAAATCTCTCTAAAACTTTACTAGCTCTAAGTCACATAGCCTGCTTGAGTGTCTCTTTCCTCATTTTACAGATGAGGATTTTTTTTACAAAAAGGAATAATAATACAATATTACAGAGCTATCATGAAATGTCAAATATGAAATGTGATCATTTATATAAAGTACTTTACAAATCTTAAATCACTTTATAAATGTTATCTATTATTAGTATTATTATTAATGCTTTTTCTAAAACTCTTTTCATGAATACTACTACTAATACCACCACCATTACTGTGTCCTGCTGCCATGATGTTATTGTGACTTGTAGATGGTGAATGATTTTCCTGAATTGGGCAAGAGAAACAGATTCTGTTTTTGAATCTAAAACTCTTAGCTTCTATCATCTTCATTGTTATGTAACACAAATGATAATACTCTAATTAAACTGCAGCTATCTTCTTAATGATGCCTCAAATATGTGAAATTTTTTTTTTTTAATGAATCTTATCTTTAAAAACACAGATAACCTTATTGATCACCTTCCTTCAGTGGACACACAGATGAATAAGAAGATTTCCCTTTTAAAGGAGCATGGCTTTTCAGAGTAAGTATCCCTCTTTAATGAAATTTTCATTTCAGAAAGCTTTCATAGCAAACCTTAGAGTAAACAGTTTTCTTCAAGGCTGACTTGATTAATCAAAAAATATTTATTGAATATAAAACAGGGTACAGTGCTAGGGACTTCTGTGGATAGACACATAAAACACAGTCCCTGGCTTCTAAGAGCTTAGGATTTACTTGAAGAGACCAGATGTACTTGCACACAGAATGAATTAAATGACCATATAAGGAGGCAGATGCTGAGTGGTATTTCTTTGATGTAGTGTAAGTGTCTTTATGAAAATATGGTAGCAGTGGAGTCCTTTAGGACAAAATAAAAGCAGCAGCAACTTATTTGGTGGTTGATTTGAGTTTCTTTAGATGTACTGTAATCTCATCAGGCCATATGTAGGTACTCATGTTTGAAGCCTGTTAATTTGTGGACATAGAAAAAAGGTTAAGGAATATACTCCAAAGTTGATTCGATGATATGGTAAATAAAATAGCTGTCTTGAAACCCACTGCAGATAAATTTTGCTTCATGGATAATCTGTGGCCAGTGCCCTATTCTGAGTGGGTTTCTTCCCACTTCTCCCTACCTTATTTACTCTTAAGCTTCTACCTCTTAACATGAAGCTGGTCTGAATATTTGTTAAAATAAAATATACAAAACATAATTAAGGAAGTAACTACACAAGATTCATTGAAAGTTAGAAATTATATAAGATTTCTTGAAAGATGAAATATAGATAAGTGAGGCACACCAAAGGTTTTGCCATTGTCATAGAGGAGAATCATCACAGTGCCCAAGTCAAGGGGTTTCCTATAAGTGATGATGTTCCTTAGATGCTGCTATTTGTGAATGACGTTGTCCTGATTGCAGCAAGCCTCAAATCTTAGGAGAGTCTCCTGAATGAGATTTGTAATCATGCTCAAGAGTTTTCTTAACTTTCCAAACAGGAAAAATTCAAATGGATAAAGAATGAATGACCTATTGTCCAGGCTGTGACATTCATTTGGGTGAACAACCTGTAAAACTAGTCCATTGGTGTGTATACACTGCAAATGGACTTTGAATTGGTCATAGAATTGGAAGAGGAGGCTTTATTAACTTTGGAAAATTGCAAAGTTATTTTAATGATCCAACCATTTTCTTTGAAGGGCCATCTTTTTAGTTTCAATAGTAGCCACCAATTTGGTGGTTGAGTCACAAACCGCTAAGGACAAGTGTATAATAAGAAAAAATAATGGGTGCTTGTGTTGGGAACCAGAGTTCACAGATTATAAGTACAGAGCTAGAAGCTACATTAGAGGTCATCAAGTCCAACCATCTCATTTTCCAGATGCAGAAATTGAGACCCAGAGAAGTGAAGAGACTTGTTCGAGGTCACCCAACTGGTAATTAATTGTCAGAGCCATGATATAAACCCAAGTTTTCTTACCTCCAAGTCATCACAGTCTTCACTGTACTGCAGTGTACAATCTGGATGGCTCCTCTTGATATGGTTGATGTAAAGTTAAGACGAGAATGAAGGCCCCCCCACCAGTGTGCTGGGTGGATCTGCTCTGGAGAATGTATGGAAAAACACGGACAAGTGTCACATAGTAGGCAGGCATGGTTTGGCTCTGACCTCCGTAATTGGAAGGAATGCCCTCATGGGTATTCATGGGTATCACAGATCCATTTGAATTATTGAGTAAATCTGCTATAAAATATATTCCAAATCAAAGAGTAAATGCTTTTGGATTATTCGTGTCATTTGTTCTCCACCTCCCTAGCCTTATCCCCTTAATATAGCTGATTTTTTCTCACTCTGAAATGAACTGTTATCCTCTGACAACTGCAGTCTCTTCTGATCAGTGAATTCTTCTGAAGGAGTATCCACACAAATTATGCTCACCTGGAACCCAGCTCAGTTCCTGATTTTCTGGACTGTTTTCTCACCTTGCCCCTACATAGTTAGCTTCTTCCCATCTCCCTAATCTCCAGTTCCTTTTCACATATTGTTTTCCCCTATTAGGATGTAAGGTCCTTGAGGGTAGGACCTATCTTTCTTTTTGCTTGTATTTGTATTCTCAGTGCCTGGCATAGAGTAAGTGCTTAATAAATGCTTTATTTATTCTGATTCTATCTATCATTTTGCTTTTACACATTTGTGACTTTTTCTGCCTTTTCCTTTGGCCCAAGATCATAGGCCACATATTGTTAAGCAGGATCTTAAAGAAAATTGCCATAATGGTTTGTCATAGTATGCTGCAGTGAAGAACTTATAATTTCTACCACTGATGGTTATTTTTGTTCTTTAGGAATTTAACTTTTGGATGGGATGGGCCATCTTGGAGACTGCTTACAGCCCTTAAGTTGTTATGTCTTGGAGCAGATGAATTGTAAGTTTCCGAGTTGCGTTCTCAATATGTGATTGAATATATTGTTCATTTACTTTTTTGTTTTTTGTTTTTTCTTTCTTTTTTTTTTTTTAAGGCAATTGGGGTTAAGTAACTTGCCCAGGGTCACACAGTTAGTAAGTGTCAAGTGTTTGGTCTGAGGCCGAATTTGAACTCAGGGCCTCCTGACTTCAGGGCCGGTGCTCTATCCACTGCGCCACCTAGCTGCCCCTATATTGCTCATTTAGAAACCAAGACTTCATTTGTCTTTGTACTTGTTATCACCAGCTTCAATTTGGAGGACAAGAGACATTGATCAGTCAGCAAGCATGTATTAAGTGCCTACTGTATGTCAGGCACTATATTAATGCATTGGGGATACAAATTCAAAGAACACATGTACAATCCCGATTTACAAAGAATTTAAATTCTGATCAGGAGACAAACATTTTTAAAGTAGTTAAAAGTATATATAACATAAATATAAAGTGTGTAAATACAAATATATACAATACGTTTAGAAGAAAATAAGAAAGATCTTGTGGGTTTGTATTGAGGCATAGCTTTTATGTTTCCCTTCTTGTAAGTGCTGCTAATGTTACCATGTTAAATATTTCGGTTCTAGTACATGCTGGAAGAAAGTGCTTCTTGGTGAAGTAATTTCAAACACAAATGAATGGAAGAGTTTTGTCTGGTCCAGAAAAATATGCTCTTATTATATAGAAGATGCCAAAACTGCACTTCAGAAGGTATATTTCTAAAACACAGCATTCTTTATTTAAAAAATCCTAGTTGGGTTAAACTATTCTGTTTTATCTGCACGTGAAATATGTGAATGTGAAATATGAATAGTATACTTTGGAGTGGTATTTAGTTGCTTTTAATAAAACAAGGTTGCAGGAATATTTTTGCACGTGGAAGGAACATGGAGATTTAATAGCATATGTATTTGCACATCTCAATAGAGCTTTATAGTGCAAACATTTTGTGTTTAGGAATTGCTTTGGTCTTCCATTAAAACAGTGATTCTCACACTTTTCCACAGTAATAGAAGCCTTCAGTTTAAATAATGCTTTGGCCAAACCCTTGTAGTAAAATGCTTTAAAATTATTATTTTAAAATTCTTATGAACAAAAAAGCATAATGTTCATGTAAAAAATAAGAAGCTTGAGTTGTGTCATGATATTTTTGCAGCACAGTGGGTTGAACTATTTATATTATGTTCCTAAGACAACTCAGTCATTGGAAAATTCTTCTGAAATTATTACTAATATTGATACTTACATCATTTCTAGATTTCCCATATGAAGGATGAGGAAGCAGCCCTGAAAGACCAGTTAACTTTGGTTGAGAATCTGTGGGTAGAAGAACTAAAGCTTCTTCAAGGGTCTGCAGATATTCTAAGGCATGTGCACCAAGAAACCACGTGACCTGCCCAGAGTTATTTCTTCTTTCTCTGTGGTGTGTGACTTTTTGCAGAATGAAGGCTGCGTTTGGTTATGAATGTTTTGGATCTTCTTTTGTTTGCAAAAACATCACCCCTTCCAGAAGCATTTATTAAGCACTTGCTATGTTCCAATCTCTGTGTTCAGTGCTGAAAGAACAAATGTAAAAGTAAGATAGTCCTCACCCTCAGGGAGGATACCTTCTCCTGGGGGAGGTAGGAGATGTTCAGCGATAAGTAAATATTCAATGTATACAAAATAAATACACATTTATGTGGGGAGTGACAGGAAAGGGGCACTAGCAATAGGGTGAATCAGAAAAGCCTCTTGAAAGAGGTTGCTTGAGCAGAGCCTTGAAGGGGTTTAAGGGCTGTAAAAGTACAAGGAAGGAAGAAGACCATTGTAGGTAAGGGATGATAGCTAGGGAAAAAATATGGAGGCAGAAGGTTCAATGTCTCATTCAGCAAGATATCCCATATATGCACTATCATAAAAGGCCAGGAAAAGTGCTGATGTGGCCAAAGTAATGTGGAAGCAGCCTGAAAATACAGGTTGGAGCAACATTGTGAAGGGCTTAGAGAAACCTGAACCACAGGCATCCTCTTGTCTCTAATTCTTTTTTACCACTTAAAAACACAAACACACAATATACATATATTATTAGCATAGTAAATATTTTATTATGTTAATTGAGGATTCTATTGATATACTAATTATATTAAATATTTGCATATTACCATAATATATATTAACATAATATATAATAAAATATGATGATATATTACATATAATGATGATACATGGTAATATATTAAGAGATAACAAAGAACCGAAACACTGTCTATACATACATCTACATGCATATATGTTATATATAGACAGAGAAAATTGGTCTTTGTGCCTTTAGAATAAGACTTATATAGACAGTGACTACAATAATGTAAACAAAAAAGATTTGAAAGTCACGCAAACTCTGATTAATTATGATGACCAGTCTTGGCCCTGAGAACAGATGATGAAACACATGTGCCTTTTCTTGGTAGAGAGGTAGGACACTCTGAATGTAGATGGGACATGTGCCATCAGATGTAGCTGGTTTTGCTTGTGTTCTTTTATGTTATGAAGAATGATCTGGAGAGGCATTATGTTGAGAAATCACACACACACACACACACACACACACACACACACACACACAGAGGTGTATTTGTATAGAGAGACAGTGTGATGTAGTGGATGCAGAGTTGTCCTTGGAGCCAGGAAGATCTGAGTTAGAGTCTTGCCTCTGATATATACAGACTATGATTCTGGGTAAGCCAGGTAAGCTCTCCATGCTCTAGGCAGCTTTCTAAAACTAAGTTACAGAGGAGCTGATTTGCATCGGTACAGGAAATTCCTCACTGGGAGCTTAGCATGAGTTAAATCACAAGTCCAATCTCTTTCCCTAGCTGTGTATGTGCACATACATGTCCACATATGTGCATGCACACAGATATGTGTTCACATATATAGGGATGTGTATAAACCCATCCTTACAGCCACATATATGTACAGAAAGAGCTAATGCTTCAAGGAAAAGTATAAGGAAGAAGAAAATGAGGGAATGTGTTAGAGGCCCCTGAACATGTGTAATCTCATGTCCTCTACTGAGCATCTTTACAAAATGAAAGCAACTCACATTTTCAAGATGCATGGAAACCATTTAAAAAAGATACAAGCTGAATGTACAATTCACTTGCCACAGGTAAAAGTCATTTTAGTATTAAATTAGCATCTTTTCTCCCCAACAGTCTTTCCCCAAAGAGTGGAGTGAGCTTTGGCTTCAAGGTCAAGATCGGGGTCATCTCCAGTAATTTACCCTCAGGTCCACTCTAAAAGGCACTTGAGGTTTAGAGAATTATCTAGAGACAGCCCCACCCATCTTTCCTCACTTTTGGTTGAGCTCCCAAAGGTTGGTTATATCCCTCTTCATTTGGTTGAGCTCCTTCACACCTCTGCCTGAGCTATCTTGATAAAGCTCTGAGGGGATAGTGACTTCTCTATTCAAAACCCTTTTATGGCTTCTTATTTCCTAGCAAGTTATGTATAAATACAATGGCGTTCAGAGTCATTGCGCAAGATGACTTTAACCTGATTTCCAATGCTTATCTCAGGCTACTCCCTTTTTTTCTTTTTCTTATTTTTTTGCTAGGCAGTGGGGTTAAGTGACTTGCCCAGGGTCACACAGCTAGTAAGTGTTATGTGTCTGAGGCCGGATTTGAACTCAGGTACCCCTGAATCCAGGGCTGGTGCTGTATCCACTGCGCCACCTAGCTGCCCCACTACTCCTTTTTTCTAGTCTGTATTTTAACCCAACTCTTCCTTTTGTCCTGTCCTTTTTGTACCTTTGCTCATACCTGTCACTAGAGTGTATTTCATGCTAGCAGCAAGTGATGAGTGATGATGGTGTCATCCGGATATGAGTGTTTGTGTTGGGGGAGGGTGTCACATACATATACACACCCATGGAATGATGATGGCTTCAGAGTTCAATCCTTATCCCCCTGAGGGCCGTTCAGGGATAAGGGAGAGGTTCTCCCTCTATTGCAGTAATCAAGGAGTTAGCTTGACAACCAATTGGTTGTACTGGTTGAAAATGTAAGCACATTTGGATGTATGCATGCATGGTGTAGACATATCCTGAGAGCTAAAACTGAGGCTAGCTCTCCTAGAAATTGTTCTTGAGGATCAAAACATCTCACCTGGACACTTAGCTAGTAAGTAGATAGGAAGAGTTGACTGATTCCCAAAGGAAGTGTCTGTTCCAGTCAACAGTGGGACTGGGCCCATGAATCACTGTTGCACTTCCAGCCTGGGTGAGATAGAAAAAGCCAATCTCTTTTAAAAAAAAAAAAATGTTAAAAAGAAAAAAAAGAGAATAAAACTGAAGAAAGTACAGAAGAAAACACACGCAAGACAACTTTGAAAATAACATTGAATTAAATACTTTTTAAAAGTACATAATGGAAGGATAATCCTCTATGTTGTACTTTGTATATGGCAGGGGTGCATCTATGAAGTTTGGATTCAGTCAAAAGGCCACACTTGAGGACCTAGAGGGCCACATGTGGCCTCAAGCCTGCAAGTTCCCCACCCCTGGAATATGACTATGTTTTTTTCAATGTCCATTAACTTCTCAATAAAACAGTTAAAAGATACTAACAAAGTGAGAGCATGGAGTGTCAGCTAAACATGTCAGCATTGTAATTTGACAGCTAAAAAAAAGTTGTGGTTTTTTTTTAAACACCAAACTAGTGATTTTATTGGTAAATTTCCCTTGAGGAAACTCCTACCGCTATAAATTGTCACTTAGAATTTTAGAGTTGCCTGCAAACTTAAGCTTTATTAAGAGGGAGATAGCATCCAAAATGAGGTATATATTAATCACATTGTGCTTTTCTCCAATTAGACATCTGAAATATTGTGTTACATTATAGATGCCACATTTTGGGAAGGATTTTGACAGAATGAAACCTATCTAGAAGAGGTTACCAGGATGCTGACAAAATTGGAGACTGTGCCATGTAAAGTTTGGTTGAAGGAACTGTGTGTATGGTTAAACTTTGAGGAAAAGAGAATCCTTAGGGGAGACATACTAACTGTTTTCCAGGTATTTCAATTGCTCTCTTGTGGATATGATTTTATTCCCTGCAGATGGCAGAATTAAGAGCCATGGGTGGAAGCACTGAAGCTAAGATGGAGCAGAATTAGAATTGCCTAATTTGAAAATTGAAACATCTTGATTGAAAAATCAATTTTTTTCAGTTTTTGCAAAAATAAAGCCAATGCAGCCATGATTAGAAGGAAATCAGAGAACTGAGAAACAATTATTACAGCCAGTGACTCTAATAAAGACCTTATTTGTACAATATATGGAGAACAGAGTCAAATTTATAAGAATACAAGTGATTCCCCAATTGATAAATGGTCAAAGAATATGAGCAGACAGTTTTCAAATGAGGAAATTAAGACTATGTATAGTCATATGAAAAAAATACTCTAAATCACTATTGATTAGAGAAATGCCAATTAAAACAACTCTGTGGTACCACCTCACCTGTCCAATTGGCCAATATGACAAAGGAAAATAATAAATGTTGGAGAAGATGTGGGAAAATTGAAATACTGATGCATTGTTGGTGGAGTTGTGAACTGATCTAAATGTTCTGGAGAGCAATTTGGACTTATGCCCAAAGGGCAACCAAACTATGCATACCCTTTGATCCAGCAATACCACTTCTAGGGCTATTTCCCAAAGAGATCACAAAAATGGGAAAAGGATCCACATGTACAAAAATATTTATAGCAGCTCTTTTTGTGGTGGCCAAGAATTGGAAATTGAGAGGATGCCCATCCATTGGGGAATGGCTGAACAAGTTGAGGTATATGAATGTAATGGAATACTATTGTGCTATAAGAAATGATGAGCAGGCAGACTTCAGACAAATCTGGAAAAACTTGTATGGACTGATGCTGAGTGAAGTGAGCAGAACCAGGAGACATTGTACACAGCAACAGCAACCTTGTGTGATGACCAACTTTGATAGACTTAGCTCTTTCCAGCAATACAATGATCTAAGACAAATCCAAAAGACTCATAAAGGAAAATACTGTCCACATCCAGAGAAAGAACTATGGAATCTAAATGCAGATCAAAGCATACTATTTTCTCCTTTTTTTTTTCTTTCTTGTGGTTTTTCCCTTTCCTCTGATTCTTCTTTCACAACATGACTAATGTGGAAATATGTTTGATATGATTGTACATGTATAGCCTATATCAGAATGCTTGCCATCTTGGGGAGCAGGGAAGGGGAAAAATTGGAACTCAAAATCTTATAAAAGTGAATGTGGAAAACTATCTTTAAATGGAATTAGAAAAAAGATAAAATTTTACTATTAAGTGGAAAAAATCCATTTTTTCATTTCAATGTGTTTTCATTGGGGAGGATTTTTATTGCATTGTGGTCATTCAAAAATGTGTTTACCATTTCAACTTTTTGCTTTCATGAGGTGAATTTTAATGTATGGTCATAGAAGGAATCTCAGAATTGCTTTGAAGTAAACTTTAATTTCTAATGATTTTGAGCATGTTTTCATGGGGTTTTAACTAGCTTTTTTTTTCCCTTTGAGAGCTGACCATTCACTCCCTTTGGCAAATTGTCAGTGGAGACAGACTTATTCAAAACCTGAATCAATTCCTTATATATCTAAGAAAGGAAAGTTTTATCAGAGAAATTTGCTGCCAGGGTTTTTCCCAGTTATCTCCTCTTTCAAGTTTAGATGAGTTGGTTTTGATTGTACATACACTTTGAAATTTTATGTGTTAAAATCATTCATTCAAATTCAAAATAATTTATTTTGCTTTTTGTGAACCTCTCTCTTGTTTGCTTAGAAGCTCTTCTAGTTTTCGTAAATCTGAACCTAAAGGTCCCAGAAGACAACAGGAAGCATTCAGTGAGTCAAGGGAGAACAGCAACTAGGGATAGGTTAGGCGGGCTCCCTTCTGGCTCAGCTGAATCAGTCTCCAGCTTCTTGCCTCTCCCTGGGTGGGGACATTCCCTGCACAGTCTCAGGCTGTGCCGTGGGGGGCCTGCAGTTTCACCTCCTGGCAGGTCCTGGCCTTCTCTTACATTCCCCAGAACATTCAGTGGTCAGCTGCTCTTCCCCACACTGAATGAGGTGCAGAGTGGCAGTAACAGAATTGCAAAGTATTAAGGAGCTACTTTATGGGAGGACAAATTGAAGCAACAATCATTACCCTGAGGGGCTCCATTGACTACTGACCTGGATTTAGTTCACTTTTCCAGGACCAGTGGGAAGACCTAGAGTAGAAGCTTCATGAAAGTTCATTAATTATATGATTAATTACATAATATTTCATTATATATAACATCAAAAGGATAAATAATAGTATAATTAAATTTATTATTTATTATAATGAAGGTTTATTAAGAGGCCAAGCTTAAGACCCTGTGTCCTCTGACTTCAGGGTAAAAATAGTTCAAAATATTAACCTGTGATTCTATCTCCTTGCTGCCCCACCCCCACTCCCAAGAAATCAAAAGACCTTCTCTCCATACAAAATCATAGGAAGGCCCCTTATAAAAAACATGCAAATAACAATCTCACTGAAATTATCGTGGAGTTATTTTCTTTTCCATCGAGAGGGGCAGTATCTACTTAATTGAGCACAGATTAAACACCTTAATTAACAATAAAACACATAATGTATGTAACTGAGGGCATGATCTTGGTTTGGCAGCCCTGGTATAAAACTTTACAGGATCAAATAGAAAAAAAAAATTAAAAGAGAAGAGTCCCAGAAAAACCATACAAAGTCAAATAATTTTCTTATGCCTCCCAACTACAGCTTAACCTTTAAATAACTACTACCTTGATCCTGTATAGGTAGGGTCTCATGGGATCCTGTGGTTCACACAGAAGCCTGTTTAGGCTGAGAGTTAGTTGCTAAGGTTCATAGGAAGTTAAATGATCACATAGTAAGTAGCAGACTTGGGATTTAAACCCAAATTTTAATTAAAAATCCTCTACTCTTTCCACTACACTGATTGAGCTTGATTTGCCTATTTGTCTTTGAGCTACAATTTCTCCCAATATGGCCCATATGCATTTAACTCTACATTTTTTTTGAACAGAAATTTTTGTGAAGGAGTATGCTTAAATGAGTAATCTGCCAAAATGCATTAATACCAGTCAAGAGATCTTCAAATTTACAAAGAATCTTGGGAATTATAAGAGAAGCCTTGCATTCCCATAGAAGGAAGCTTTGTAATAGAGGTAGCTTGCAATATGGCATCAGAAAGTTATTCTACCTGAAGATCACCCTGACAGCCTGTAAGGAATGGCCCAGTTAATGCCCCAAAGCACACATGTGCCCCCTGAACCCAGTTGTGTTGACTTGTCATACTGGCATTTCCCCAGCATAAGAAACCTGCATGCATTACCTATTTCTGTGATGAAGCAGATTCTGTATGTAAAACTTGATCAGGAATGAGTAAAATTTCAGAGTACTTAGTGATTTATTGGTAGCCTTTGAAAACTTTTTATTCCATTTAGGGAATCTGAATTTTGCATGTTTTTCCACTATTACAAATATTGAATCATTAGAAATCTCAGTCATTACAAATCTCTCACATAATTAGTAGGCAACTCAAGGAGAACACCTTATAGGAATTAGCTGTGACAATTAGTAAAGGCACAAAATGTACTTTTCTTTTTATTTCTTTATAAATGTAAATTTTTAAATCAAATCCAACATGTATAACACTAAAGTATCACTAGAATAGATTCACAAATTTACCATTTTTCAACCTTTTTCTCTGACACAAACTGGCCATGAGGTTCTGTAACACCTGGAGGTAAAAGAGCCAAATAAACTGGGGTTTCAGCTCCTTCCTCTACACTTTTGGCAGCATTGATTCCTCCCATGTCAGTTCTTACCCATCCTGGGCAGCAGGCATTCAGAAGAATGTTATCACCTTTCCTCTGCTCATTCAGTTGCCTGGCTTGGATTCTTGACAAGACAGTGACTGCAATCTTGGACGTTCCATAAGCAGTGTTAGGCCAACCTTCCTTCTCATGCACTCCCTTCTTTGCATCTTCCACAGACTTGTTCATGAGCCCCACCAACTCTTCCTCTGTGATTGTGTCACTCCTAAACTTCTGCTGCAGTTCTGGGCTGCATTTTTTAAGAGCGAATGCACTCATCATGCTAGAAACATTCACCACTCTACCTGTGATAAAACATATGGAGACATCCTTTGTCATATACTTCTTACAATCATTCTTTGAAAGCATTCAAAGTTTATAGTTATTTCTTCATGGTATTGTGAGATACCTATACATTTTTACTAGCTGAAGATGGAGCTTTTTTTTTGTTAGGATGGGGAACTATGGTTTATTTGTCCACACATCTAAAAATCATTTTGCAAAGGAATAATAAATGAAACAAATGGAAAAAAACATAAAGTGCTTTCTATGTGCCAGGTACAATGCTAAATTTGAGTATATGAACATAGATGGCAATGTTGCATGGAAGAATTGAACCTGCCTATCGATATTTAATCAATGTTTGATTAAACACTCTTCTAATAGAATGAGAGGAAATTTCCAGTCAAACTGATTATAAAATCATGAAATTGATCTATAGATCTCATAGGCCTTAGCCCTATTAAGATGTATTTGCATCTGTCTTTAAAATGGCAATAAGCAAAAAGGATCCTTTGATTGATAGCTGTCACATGTCTAGAAGTAAGTAGGTGATGCTGCGTAGAAATAAGAGAAGGTACCCTCCCCCCCCAAGTCCTTATGATGGCTTATAAAAACATTTACTGACACCTGGGTCCTTCTCACTAGTGGACACTAGCTCTACCTTTTAGAACTGGTAGTTCAGAGGTTAGGTTATTCTCCCTGTAGAAAATCCCAGCCAAATCATGTAGCTTTCGTAATTGTCTTTCCATTGTTTTGCTGGGATTATCTACAGGGAGAGTAACCTAGCCTCTGAAACAATTTGTGGAGGTGTCCAAATGCCAAAGTCCTCCCATGGAATTTGAATTAGAAGCCACTACGTCAATAGTGATACCTTGGTAGTAGCCATGAAGCCTTTTTTTTTCAATGTTACCCTTTGTATTCCAGTAAGAAAATAAAGATATTTAATTTTAAAAATTACTGTAACCGACAAAGAACACAGAAAATGAGAAGGCATAAATGGATTGTAATCTATAATGCTGGAAGTCATACCCAGATGGATGAGATGAGAGGTCCACTAGCAATTTGTGTCAAATGAATCTGTCATCCAACTGTTTCAGAAGTTCCCTCCAACAAACACCCTAACCATCCCCTGCATTACCTTTATTCATGTCTCTCCATTTGTTTAGGGCGAGGGGAGGTCCTATGGATTTTGCCAGAAACCTTCCTCATTTTCTCCTGACTTCATTCTGACTGTTTATCTGTCACTCTTTACTGTCACCACATGACTAGCCCATCTTCTCTGCTTATTCCATAAGTGCTCTTTCACAGATCTCTGGAATTCCTCACTGGTTTGATGTTTCAGACTGCTAATACCCATCAGGAACTTCTCTACTGCCTTTCATGGAGTAGTAATTTTTTAATCCTTTGGAGACTGCTGGATTCTGTGACATTGCCATATAGCAACAATTGCAAAATGTTGGCACTAAAAAATGGGTCCAAAAATTTTCTTTTTAAAAAATGGATCTCTGCTTTTATGGGAAGCTTGTGGTCATTAAAAGAGCTCTGTAATTTCTCAAAAGTGTTCCAGCTTGTTCCTTTCCTTTTCTTTAACTTAGGGCCTGAGAGTATATAAATCTCTATCTCTATCTGAGACAGACAATTCAGGTGTACTGTCAGGCTATAATTGAAAAAGAAAAAAGGTCAGGGTAGAGTGTCTTGAGGAAATTTGTGTTTGTCCATATATATATGTATACATGTACATATAGCTTGTGAATGGAATATATAAGTATATATACATATACATGCACATACATGTGTAGATATATATGGACAATACTTGATTTCTTGGAAGATGTCACAACAAAAATTATGTAATCCTTTTCAATGACCTTCTTATCATAAAAGTTAGGTGAGCCGTAAAAAGGGAGAGGTATCTTATGATAATGGAGATCAGCATAGTGTTCAAGTTGTTGAGAGATTCTCTAGATATTTCTGTGGATGACATTGTGCTGATTGCCTTAAAACATTTACAAGCTTCCTGAAACAGATCTATGACCACTCAAAAGTGTCTAGTCTGACCAACCATACCAGAAAGATAAAGATTGTCATAATAATTTTTGCAAGTTTTTCATCCTTAAATATCCTTGGGATGACTTTTCATAGTTGGATCTCTTACCAAGTTTTCCTTTTTTTTTTTTTTTTTCTAGGTAATTGGGTTAAGTGATTTGTCCAGGGTCACACAGCTAGTAAGTGTGAAGTGTCTGGGGCAGGTTTTGAACTCATTCCAAATACTGAATTTACCTTGGGGTTTTATCAGAGGCAATAATTCTGCAGATACAGCTCTGGTGCCAAAAAAGTTGGTTTGCAGTGTCACCTCAGCTTGAATAGGAAAAGGTGTGGTATCAGACTCTAAAAAGAAAAGAGGGGGAGGGGAAGAAAGAAGAAAATGAAGAGTAAGTTACAGTAATCAAACTGAACACTTGCAGCAAAGAAATTCACCTAACTTTAAAAGAAGGGAGATAAGTATTTATATAGTTCCTACTATGTGACAGACACAATTATCTCACAACAAAGCTTCCAGGTAGGTGCCTTTATTATACCCATATTACAGTTAAGCAGCCTGAGGCAACCAGTGTTAAGTGATTTGCCCAAGGTCAGACAGGTAGTAAGTGTCTGAAGCTATAGCTGAACTCTGATGTTCCTGACTCCAGGCCCTGTGCTCTCTCAGCTAAGACCCTTAGAGTGGAAGGAAAAAAGAAAAGCTCACCAAAATGCCCAGAGTAGTTGGTGCATTAAATAGCCAGTTTGAAAGTCTTGGTTGAGGCTTAAACTTCTCAGAGAAAGCATACATAGAAATGCAATTTATGATTACATGAACAGGATATGTACTGTACCTTCTGGGGGAATAGAAGATGTTCAGAGATAAGTAAATATTAGATCTATACAAAATAAATACAGTAACATTACCTACCCAAAAACCTCCTGGGACTTTGATACCTTGTGAAATTCAGAAATGTTTTGTTAATTACAAATATTCAACAACTTCAATTCAACAAGCATTTATTGAAGAAACTTTATGTGCAAACAACACCAGTGGGGATATAACACACACAAAAGTAACTGTATGTACTAAGCTGCCAACACTCTCCTTAGAAGGCTATAACACTTACACCAGTAGATTAATAGGAGATATAAACAAAATGATAGAAAAAATTTCTCCAGGTAGGATCAAATAGATGGATCAGTGGATTGAGGGCGTGTCCTGGAATTAGGAAGAGGGAAGTTCAAATTCAACCCTAGACACTTACTACCCTGTGACCTTGGGCAAGTCACTTAACCTCTGTTTGCCTTAATCCACTGGTTCTCCACGAAACCACTCCGGTATTTTTGCAGAGAAAACCCCAGGAAGAGTCGAATAACACTGAACAACAACAGAACGCATTAACAACCTGTAGCTACTTTTTCTCCCTGGAGTGAGGAGTTCTGTATTTTACAATGAGTACAATCAATAAATTTTAGTGATTTTCATTTACACGCAAGTTCGTACCTTTGAAGGCTATCCCAGCATTGTTGACCAGCACATCCAAGCCCCCATACCGCTCCTTGAGAAATTCCCGCAGGGTCTGAATGCTCTGCAGGTCATTGATGTCCAGCTGGTGGAAAACAGGGTTCAGTCCCTCCTCCTTCAGCTTCTTCACCGCCTCCTGGCCCAGGGTCGGATTCCTGGCGGTGAGAATCACGTCCCCGGGGAATTTCTTGCACAGATCGCGCACGATGGCCAAGCCAATCCCCTTGTTACTGCCGGTCACCACGGCCACTCTGCTGCTGGAAGACATGACTCGGGGCTGTAGAGTGCAGGAAGTGCAAGATACTGAGCCGGGGCTTGCTGGGGATGCAAGCCAGAGAAGGTGACTGGGCAGCAGGAGAGAGCGTGACGAGATGTTTGAGCTGCAATTTGTGGCTGGCACTGGATATAAAGTCCATTCTTTAGCGCAGCACCTCCCCTCATCCCTAGAACTACCTGTTGAAGGTGAATAAATAACTTCTCAGGTGCTCTCTTCACTCTCCTACACATGCCAGTCTCTCTCTACTAAGGAAGGGAGAGCAGCCAGCCAGTCCCAGGTTTCTAAATTCCAGGAGGGGTGCACGGGGAGGGGAACAAAACGGAAAAAAAAGAAACCACGGACTTCTAAGAGGGTTGATGCGTTTTCTTTTGTCTCCCTCTGTAGCTCTCTAGGATAATTATTTAGCTAATAAATATTTGCTTTTCCCCTAATTTGTTTCTCTTAAATCCCCACTAAGTTCTGCCTAATGAGCCGCTAAAAGTCTTAGTTCAATGCACCCAGGTGTGATGGCAGAGCAGGGAGCCAAATATTTGGAAAGTGTCCAAGATACTCCCAAATTCCAAAGAATTAGTGGGAAGTATCTCAGAAAATTTATCTCTACAATAGGTTATCAGTTTACGCTGTGAGAATTTGTGAGTAGAAAGACTATTAAAGCTTCTTTAAATGTCTGCAGATATTCTAAGGAATATGCACCAAGAAACTGCCTGACCTGCCCAGAGTTATTTCCTCTTTCCCTGTGGTGTGTGACTTTTTGCAGGATGCAAAGTTCCTATGAGTATGAATGTTTTGGACCTTCTGTTGTTTGCAAAAGCATCACCCCTTCAGGAAGTATTGATTAAGCACTTGCCTTGTTCCAATCTCTATATTCAGTTCTGAAAGAACAAATATATATATATATGTATATGTACATATATATATATTTTATAGTGAGGCAATTGGGGTTAAGTGACTTGCCTAAGGTCACACAGCTAGTACATGTCAAATGTTGGGTCTCAGGTCACATTTGAACTCAGGTCCTCCTGACTTCAGGGCCAGTGCTCTATCCACTGCGCCACCTAGCTGCCCCTAAGAAAAAATATATTACAATAGTCTCTGCCCTCAGGGAGGACACCTTCTGGGGGAATAGAAGATGTTCAGAGATAAGTAAATATTAGATCTATACCAAATAAATACACATTTATGTGGGGAGTGACAGGAAAGGGGCACTAGCAACTGGGTGAATCAGGAAAAGCCTCTTGAAAAAGCTTGGGACAGCTTGGTGGTGAGGTGGTTAGAGCATTGGTCCTGGAGTCAGGACGACCTGAGTTCAAATCTGACTTCAGACACTTGACACTTCCTAGCTCTGTGACCCTGGGCAAATCACTTAACCCTACTTGCCTTGCAAAAAAAAAAGAAAGAAAGAAAGAAAGAAAGAGGTGGCTTGAGCAGAGCCTTGAAGTGATTTAGGGGTTGCAAAAGTACAAGGAAGGAAGATCATTCTAGGCATGGGATAAAAGCTGGGGAAAAGATGTGGGGGCAGAAGATTGAATGTTCCATTCAACAACATGTCACATACATGAACTATCATGAAAGGCCAGGAAGAGGACTGATATGGCCAAAATAACATGGAATCAGCCTGGAAACATAGGATGGAGAAACATTGTGAAGGCCTTAAAGAAACTTGATCCACAGACATCCATAGGTCATCAATATTGTCTAGGGAGGTATTATGTTGGGAAATAACTTATATTAAAAGATATGTATTACACACACACACACACACACACACACAAATATGTGTATATGTATAGAGAGGCATTGTGATGTGGTGAATGGAGAACTGTCATGACACCCATGGAATCATGATCACTACAAGGGTCAGTTCAAGTGTAACCTCCTACAAGGAGCTTTTCCTCATCCCTTCAAGGACATCCAGGGATAAGGGAGAGGTTCTCCCTCACTTGCACCAATCAAGGAGTTAGCTTGACAACCAATTGGATGTACAGGTTGAAAATGAAAGCGCACTTGGATGTATGCATGGTGTAGACAAATCCTGCTAGCTCTCCTGCTAGAAATTGTTCTTGGGGTTCATAACAACTCTCTAGACCCCTACCTCACAAGCGGGAAGGCTTGAATGATTCCCAAAGGCAGTTTCTGTTCCTATCAGCAGTGGGATCAGGCCCATTAATCACTGTTGCCCTTCCAGCCTGGGTGAGATAGGACAAGCCAATCTCTTGCAAAAAAAAAAAAGGAAAATATAAAACTGAACAAAGTACAGAAAAAAATGTAAGTAAGAAAGCTTTGAAAGAAACATTGCATTAAATGTTTTTTAAAAATGATGCTGTATAAAATGAAAGTATAATCCTCTATGTTGTATTTCGAGCATGGCTGTTTTTTTCAATGTCCATTAACTTCTGAATAAAAAAGTTAAAAGATCACCAACAAAGAGAGAGCATGGAGTGCAAGCTAAACACATCAACATTGTGATTTGACAACTGAAAAAAAGCTAATCTACATTTTAAAAAAAACCCAAACTTGTGATTTTATTGGTATATTACCCTTGCTCTGTAACTTAACATTTCAAAGAGTGCCTGAAAACTTAAGTTTCATTGAGAGGGAGAGCTTCCAAAAAGAGGTGCATATTGATCACACTGTGTTTTTCCCTGATTAGACATCTGGAATATTGTGTTAAATTATGGATGCTACATTTTAGGAATGATGTTGACAGAATGAAGAGGTTACCAGGATGCCGAAAAAATTAGAGATCATGCCATGTGAAGATTGGTTGAAGAAACTGTGTATGGTTAGCCTGTTAGGAAAGGTGAATCTTTTTTAAAATTTTAATTAATTTATTTATTTTTAGTTTTCAACAATCACTTCCATAAGCTTTTTAATTTTAAATTTTCTTCCCTTCCCTCCCCGCCTCCCTCTCCAAGACAGCATTCAATCTGATACAGACTTTACATATACATTCCTATTAAACATATTTTTCACATTAGTAATGTTGTAAAGAAGAATTAGAACCAATAGGAGGAACCACAAGAAAGAAGAAATAAAACAAAACAGAAGGGAAAAAAAGAGTAAATAGTATGCATTGATCTGCATTGAAACTCCATAGTTCTTTCTCTGCATGTGGATAGCATTTTCCATCATGAGACTTTTTGAAGATATCTTAGATCCTTGCCTTGCTGAGAAGAGCTAAGTCTATCAAAGTTAGTTATCTCATAATGTGGCTCTTACTGTGCACAACGTTCTCCTGGTTCTGC